TCCATGGGTTCTCCTTCGCTTTGTCCTGTTGTAAAATTGCTTCTCCTTTTATCTATTTATCTGTCTATCTTAAAGATTTATTTTTAAAAATATTTATTTTTATTGGAAATGCAGATTTATAGAGAGAAGGAGAGACAGAAAAATCTTCTATCCGCTGGTTCAACTCCCAAAGTGGCTGCAACAGCTAGAGCTGAACCAATGTGAAGCCAGAAGCCAGGAGTTTCTTCTAGGTCTCCCACCTGGGTGCAGGGTCCCAAGGCTTTGGGGCATCCTCCACTGTCTTCCCAGGCCACAAGCAGGGAGTTGGATGGGAGTGGAGTAGGTGGGACACAAACTGGTGCCCATATGGGATCCCGGCACTTGCAAGGCAAGCCTTTTAGCCACTGAGCTGTTGTGCCGGGCCCCTTTTTATTTTTTACTTTTAAATATTTATTTATCTTACTTGAAAGTCAGAGTTACAGAGGGAAAGAGAGAATCAAAAGGAGGAGGAGACATCTTCCATCTGCTGGTTCACTCTTCAAATAGCTGCAATGGCCAAAGCTGTCCTGGTCCAAAGCTGGGAACCAGGAACTTCTTCTGAGTTGCCCACATGGGTGCAAGGCTCTGCTGTTTTCCTAGCCATCCACAGGGAGCAGCCAGGACTTGAACCGGTGTTCATATAGGACGCCAGCGCTGCAGGTGGAGGATTAGCTCACTATGCCACTGTGCCAGCTCCTGTTTATCCATGTCTCACAGTAAGAAGCTTGGTTTCCAGCATAAACATATGTATTCCATTGCATTCTCAAGTGCGCTGTGCTCAGAATTGCAACATTACGCCATTAACAACATCTCATCTACCAAGTTAGTTTAGTAACTCTTTTGTTCTTTCGCAGTATGCTGTCAAAATACGTGTCTGAGAAGTTAGGGGTGGACACTGGTTAGTAAGATGTTGGTTGGGGTTCCCACACTCCGTATTCGAGTGCCTGGCTTTGAGTCCCAGCTTCCCTCCTGGTTCTGGTTTCCAGATAATATGCACCCTGGGCGGCAGCATTGATGACCCCGCTGGTTGGCTCCCTAGCACCCACACGGGGGGAGCCCCGGGATGGTGGGGAGAGGGGAGTTCCAGCTGCTGCCTTCAGGCCGGCCCTGCGCTGGCTGTGCTAGGCCTTTGCAGCGTGAACCCACAGGTGGCAGCTCTGCCTTTTGAACAAATTTTAAAAATGAAGGATTTAAAGCTGCTTTGTTCAGTTCTTTTCTCTGTGTGCTTATGTTAGTAATCAAATAATAAGTCATTTGATGTATTTAGAATAATTTTGATAATAGATAATATAATGCATAATTCATACTACTTCATAACAAGTCATTTGGCTTATTTTTCCTGTGCAATCAATTTTAAGTTTACTTCTTGCATCCATTTTGATTTATTTTTTGATATATTTATTTTTATTGGGAAGTCAGATATACAGAGAGGAAGAGAGACAGAGAGGAAGATCTTCCATCCCTTGATTCACTCCGCAAATGACTGCAGCAGCCAGTGCTGAGCCCATCCGAAGCCAGGAGCCCGGAGTCTCTTTCAGGTCTCGCATACTGGAGCAGGTCCCAAGGCTTTGGGCCGTCCTCGACTGCTTTCCCAGGCCTCAAGCAGGGAGCTGGATGGGAAGTGGAACTGCCAGGATAAGAACCAGCGCCGATATGGGATCCCAGCTCATTCAAGGCGAGGACTTTAACCACTAGGCCACCGCTCCAGGCCCTGATTTCACTTTTTAAGAATAAAAAACATTTACATGGTTTAAAAATCAAAAGTATTTTAAAAAAAAAAACTTCTTACTTCCATCTCCATCTTACTTTCTCACCTTTCTTTCCTGTGTCTTTTTGCATACATGAATACATTAATGCACATTTGCATATATATGTATATTTATATGTGTGTGTTCTCCAACTCCTTTCTCAGTCATTTCCACTGTGCCTCCATGAATGAAAAACTCTGATACAGGAGTGATTTTCTGGCCTTAGACCTGCAAGGTGGCTGCTGAGCCGCGGTGCATCCGTGTGTAGTTCCCCAGGCATGGCTACTATGGCCCATGCACTCAGGCTGTGCATTTTCCATTCCTATTTAGGGTGAAGTTCCATGCCTCCTTTCTAGAGCTTCACCAACAGAGGGCGCTACCCCATTTTTGCAGGTCTGCAAGAAATGACATCTCAGTGTAGTTTTAACGTTCATATCTTGTTTTTGAAAGACCTTAAAACATGCTTTTGTGGGCCCAGCATGGTAGCCTAGTGGTTAAAGTCTTCGCCTTGCATACGCCGGGATCTCATGTGGGCGCCAGTTCTAATCCCGGCAGCTCCACTTCCCTTCCAGCTCCCTGCCTGTGGCCCGGGAAAGCAGTCAAGGACAGCCCAAAGCCTTGGGACCCAGCACCCGCGTGGGAGACCTGGAAGAACCTCTGTGCTCCTGGCTTCGGATGGGTGCAGCTCTGGCCATTGTCGCTGCTCTGGGAGTGAATCATCAGACGGAAGATCTTTGTCTCTCCTCCTCTCTCTATATCTTTTTACTAAAAATCAATCTAAAAAGAAATGAAAAAGACATTCTTTTGTACAGCGTCGTCTCATCTTTTTCTTCCAACTCTGTTCTTATTTTCCCCCTGGTTTTCCATCTTGGTTTTCATTTTTTTTTTCCCACTGCATTTCTAAAAGAATTCTTTATAAATTAGGATGATAGGTCCTTGACTTGTGATGGCAGTTGTAACTATTTTGCCTCATTTTGGTTTTCACTTGTTCAGTGGTTCGGAGTGTGTTTTCTTGAGCACCGTGTAACCCCTGGTACTATCAGCTCAAGAGTAGCGTGCCAGGGCCCGGCGGCATGGCCTAGCAGCTAACGTCCCCGCCTTGAATGTCCCGGGATCCCATATGGGCGCCAGTTCTAATCCCAGCAGCTCCACTTCCCATCCAGCTCCCTGCTTGTGGCCCGGGAAAGCAGTTGAGGACAGCCCAAAGTCTTGGGACCCTGCACCCGCGTGGGAGACCCGGAAGAGGCTCCTGGCTTTGGATTGGCATAGCATCTGCCATTGGCGTTCACTTGGGGAGTGAATCAAGGGACAGAAGATCTTCCTCTCTGTCTCTCCTCCTCTGTGTATAACTGACTTTCCAATAAATAAATAAACCTTAAAAAAGAAAAGAGTAGCGTGCTAATGAAGGTGTGGATTCAGAGACACCACTGATCGCCTCAAGCATCCATGAAAACGGAGTGCCTCCCTCTTAGGCCCAAACCACAAGCCACCCTACAGAGACGCAGATGGCCATACGTATAAAGTAGATTCATGGCACAAAGCTGGAATACCTAAAATGTTGCATAATTGAATCAAAATTCAGAATATTTGAACAGCCTGCAAATATGGGCCAAAATGCAAAAAATAAAATAAAATAAAATTCAGTGGAAATAACGTTTTGTACTTTGGCTTGGAAGCATTGATTCCATATGTTCAGGATTGGGGACATCTGCCGTCACACAGCTTCGTGTGTCTAAACCTTGGGTTTGGTTGACCACACACTTGTGTAAGCTCAGTGGGGGTAATGGGTTGCTCAAAGCACATGCATTCGAAGAGAAACAGGTTGAAGAGAGGAGGAAATTTGCCCTCTCTGGCCTTGGTATGTGCCAGGCCACCACATTCCGAATGCTTTGTTTAGTTCGGGGGAACCATAAATCTAGAAGTGTGGTCTCCAGTGAGCAAGTCCGAAGTGGAGAAGCAGAGCCAGAGGAGGGTCTGGAAGCCCCATGGGGCACGTGAGCAGGCACTGGGGGCACGGAATGTGGAAGTGGAGGGCAGGTCACCTTTGAAGTATTTGAAGGCTGTCGAGAAGAGGGACCTACATTATTTGCTGCCGAGGGCAGGCTTAGCCTTGGTGGGTATAAGCGTCGGCACGGGCAGGGCCCCCGATCGGGGTGTGGATTGGCATTCAGGAGTGCTGGGTAGGGGAAGGGCTGCCGCCTCCCGTGCTCCGAGCTCCCCACGGCTGCAGGGTTCGGGTCCTGCTGCTGCGCACAGCGGTCATTCAGGCTTTTGGCATTGGACTCTCACAAAGCAGTCCTTCCATCCTGGTGTCTCCTGTCTGTGGAGAGTGAGAGCAGGTGGGGTAAGCAGTCTGTGGGATTCCTTGGCTCACGGAAGTAGATAAAGTGTTAGAGAGGCTTTCATCTATAGGTTTTCATGTTAATATGCAGCAAGCGGAGATCAAGATCCCGAGCCAGTTCCTGAGGGGGGGCGGTCCTGTGGCTGGTGGCGCCCCTGATGGGGACTTCAGGTGGGCGATCACAGGGTACATACTCAGCGCGCACTGGGCTTCCTCTCCCTCCCCGGCTGTGCCGAGAGCACAGACACGTCTCAGTATCAGCTGCTCTGGGAACTCCTTGGCCTTTCGCAGGAGCATCTGTGTTTTGAGCTGGCAGGTGCATTCTGTGATCGTCTTCCTAGCAGCCGTGAGGGTGCACATGGATTAGCACAGAGCACATAACACGCAGATTTGGATTCCACGCTGGAGGGTCCCTGACCGTTGAGCGTCTCCAGCAAGCTGCCAGCCAGTGCTGATCTGGCCAGCTCTGATCCCACCCTCAGTAGCCGGGATCTGAAGCAGCGGTCTGCAAGTGACTCCCACGGATCACTTGTAACGGGACCCTCCTCCTGCCCCCCGGCCCCAGACTTCTGGCTCAAAATGCAACTTCTCAGGCAAAGCCCTCTTCTCTCCACGACCAGGGTTTCTAGCGCTAGAGCCTAGCAACGGGCCTTGGGATGATTCTTAAGCACATGCAAGGTATTAAATTAGGAGTCTTTGGCGGGGGAAATGGAGGGAGAAAGCATTCCGGCCAAATGCAAGTGGCTGGCGGGACACAGTCTACTGACAGAGAGTGTGAGTAGGGAGAGACCGACCAGGGAAGCCAGGCCGCTGCACGCGGCCCCCCGCCCCCGTGTGCCCCACGATCTCATTGCTGTCTTCCCACTGTCCCAACCCTGCCTTGCTCCTCCAGCCGTGCAGCATGCTCTGCCTACCCCACGCCACGGTGCGCTGACCATGAGCCTCAACTCCTCGCTTGGCCACAGAAAGGAGCTGAGTAACCTCACCAAGCAGGAAGCTGGTGAAGGCGACGTCATCATCGCAGAATTCATCGCCATCATCATCATCACTGTCTCCGTCTGCCTGGGCAACCTGGTCATCGTGGTCACCTTGTACAAGAAGTCCTACCTCCTCACCCTCAGCAACAAGTTCGTCTTCAGCCTGACCCTGTCCAACCTGCTGCTGTCCGTGCTGGTGCTGCCCTTCGTGGTGACCAGCTCCGTCCGCAGGGAATGGATCTTTGGCGTGGTCTGGTGCAACTTCTCCGCCCTCCTCTACCTGCTCATCAGCTCGGCCAGCATGCTCACCCTCGGGGTCATTGCCATTGATCGGTAAGCTCAACTCCACGTGGAGACGGCTGGGGATGGCGGAGTGAGAGTCTGGCTTCCTCACTGTCCTGCGACTAGGGCCTTTGCTTGGGGCTATGGGTGGTATAAGCAGGCTAACTTTTGCCTCTTCTCCTGTCGCTTCAACCAGAACACCTCTGGTTGAACCTCTGGTTTTATACGCAAGTTTTAGAAAAAGTTCCATTGAGCAAAAAAAGAAAATCTAGAGGCGGGCATTGCCACTTAACGTGCTGCTGGGCTATGCACAGCCCATGTCAGAATGCCAGGGTTCACGTCCCCCCTTCGCTTCCGATCTAGCTTCCTGCTAACGTGCACTCGGGGAGGCGATGATGGCTCGAGCCTGTAGGTCCTTGTCGCCTATGTGGGAGGCCCAGTTCCCGCCTCCAGCCCTGGCCTTTGGGAGGTGACCCTGCACACAGAAGCTTATTTCCCTCTTTCTCTTAAGTGCATACACGCAGGCTACAAACCCCTGAGTGTCTGAAGCAGAGGCTGAGGAAGCCGAGGTGCTGGGGTAGGCTTTGGGTCCAGGTTTCTGCTTCAGCTGTGCCTTCTTCGCAACATACTGCCCGGCTGTGCCATGCTTGGGCAAGTCGGTGGGAACTTGTCTGCTGGGGCCCACTTAGAAAGCAAACTCCCACCCTTCCTATCCAGGGCAAGGAAGATAAACGACCCAGACTCAGAGGTGGGGACGTTTGGGAAGATGCTGGGTGTGGGTGCTTGGCCTCCGCCCGGCTGGTGCCCAGTGAGCAGTGGCTGTCACAGGGCACAGGCCTTCTGATCCCCAGGCCGTGCCAGCACATCCAGGTGCACCAGCCTCGTGGACTCGGGCAGGGAGTCTGTGGCCCGTCTGGTGCTACATTGTACTGATGGTCACGGCGTTCATCTCAGGCTGGGCAGGGGAGCAGGACGACAAAGAAGGCCTCTATGATTTGCCAGAAATTAAGAAGGAAGTTAGCAGAGAAATTGTCCATGGATGACAGGAGTCCTTGGCCTTTTTTATTTTTTTGGCACCAACTGTATTTTTCTTTTTTAAAGAATGTACTTATTTTTATTTGAAAATCAGGGTTACAGAGAGAAGACACAGAGAGATCTGTTCATTGGTTGACTCTCCAAATGGTTGCAACTGCCAGAGCTGGCCCGGTCTGAAGCCCAGGGGTCAGGAGCCTCCTCCAGGTCCCCTATGTGAGTGCAGGGTCCAAAGGCCTTGGGCCATTCTCTGCCGCTGTCCCAGGTGCGTTAGCAGGGAGTTGGTTCAGAAGCAGAGCAGCTGGAACTTGAGGCAGTGCCTGTATGGGATGCTGGCACTGTAGCCAGAAGCTTAAATCACTAGGCTGTGGTGCCAGACCTGGGACCAACTGTATTTTTAGTTGATGAGTGGTAGGGAGTCAGGACGTCCTCCGGGATCCTTTCTGTGGCCACGCAGGGGATGGAGGAGGAGGGCGTTGGTTAGAGTGAGTTAGTCATCTTCTCGGCTTCTTTGTTTCTCCCAGTAATAAAACCAATATAAAAAGTAATAGGAGGACCCAGCGCAGTGGCCTAGTGGCTAAAGTCCTCACCTTGAACGCGCCAGGATCCCATATGGGCATCGGTTCTAATCCTGGCGGCACTGCTTCCCATCCAGCTCCTTGCCTGTGGCCTGGGAAAGCAGTCGAGGACGGCCCAAAGCTTTGGGACCTGCATCCACATGGGAGACCTGGAGGAAGTTCCTGATTCCTGGCTTCAGACTGGTACAGCACCGACCATTGCGGTCACTTGGGGAGTGAATCAAGGAACGGAAGATCTTCCTCTCTGTCTCTCCTCCTCTCTGTGTACATCTGACTTTCCAATTAAAAAAAAAGAAAAAAAAAAGCAATAGGAGGAACTGAGGAATACCAGAATCTAACCTCTCTGAAACAAGAACTGCGTGTGTTTTTAGCTCATTTCCCTTGCCACTTTGGTGGTCTACAGCGATAGACTCAAGGTGACAGACTCAAGGCGAGGATGGCTTGTGACCTGATTTCATCACTGAACCATGTGATGTGTGCTGAGACCCCCGGGGAATGTGAGTTTATTGGCTGTGTGCCGCTCCGTCCTGCGCATGTGCCCTGGCTTCGGCCGGCTCACTGCTGCTGTGTGTGGCGCATGTGGGAGCGTGCTTTGTCTGTGGGACTGCTGTGGCTTCAGCCAGACTAGACACACATTCGGGGTTCTTCATAGAAAAGGCTACTAGCCCTTCCAAAACTTGGGCAGATTTTTCTTCAGATATTTGTCCTTATCAAGACTGACTCTATGGTATTAAAAAAAATGGTTTGTAAGTTTGCTAGCAATGGAGTTGGGTGAGAATAGTATATCATTGTTGTTGTTTTAATTTATGTTCTTTTTTTTTTTTTATTAAGTCGTCGTAGCTTTTTTGCACATCCCTTCCAAGGCATCCTGCCCCATGCATGCAGTGAGGAGAGGCAGCTCATGTGTTGCAGGGGGGACTGGTCGTGAGGTGCCTCTTGCAGAGCTGGTGCCAGTGTCTCCAGGGACGCTCCAGGATCTGGGGCGAGGTCAGTGAGACTGGCAGCTTCCACCACAAGCAGGACAGAGCGTCAGCTGACTGTTGACCCCTTCTGTGCCTTATTCTTTAGTAGCAGGAGTATTTGCTGGAGTCTGTCCCGAGAACAACGCTGCGCTAAATTCTTCGGGGCAGTTGGAGAAAAACATGAACAGAACATAGGCCCTACTCCCACTGGTTGACACTTTAGGTACAGAGGCCAACCAGTGCTGTGGTGGGTTTTTTTTTTTCCAGATTTATTTATTTTTGTTGGAAAGTTAGATATACAGAGAGGAGGAGAGGCAGAGAGGAAGATCTTCTGTCTGATGATTCACTCCTCAAGTTGGAGCTGAGCTAGTCTGAAGCCAGGAGCCAGGAGCATCCTCCAGATCTCCCATGCAGGTGCCAGATCTCAAGGCTTTGGGCCGTCCTTGACTGCTTTCCCAGGCCACAAGCAGGGAGCTGGATGGGAAGCAGGGATACCGGGATTAGAACCGGTGCCCATCTGGGATCCTGGGCGTACAAGGCGAGGACTTTAACCATTATGCCATCGCACCGGGCCCCAGTACTGTGGTTGTTAATCTAGAGAAAAGAAATAATTGCTGTGGACAATTTCCAGGTTTACAACTGCTAATTGGTTGGGGAGAGCTGGCGTAATGGCTCAGTGGCCAAATCCTTGCCTTGCACGTGCCAGGCTCCCATATGGTCACCAGCTCATGTCCTAGCTGTTCCATTTCCTATTTCCTGCTTGTGCTTTGGGAAGAGAATAGAGGATGGCCCAAAGCCTTGGGACCCTGCGCCCACATGGGTGACCCAGAAGAAGCTCCTGGCTCCTGGCTTCAAAATCATCTTAGTTTCGGCCATTGCGTTCACTTGGGGAGTCAACAAGTGGGTGGAAGATCTTTCTTTCTGTCTCTCCTTCTCTCTGTAGATCTGCCTTTCCAATAAAAGTAAATAAACGTTTAAAAAAAAAAAACCCTGCTGATGGGTGGGACAGCAAATGTTTCAGGGAAAAGGTAGCATTTTCTGTGAAGTCAGTGAGTAGGAGCGCAGGGCATGTAAGAGGTGGAAGGGCCTTCTGAGTGCGGCAGCAGCATCTATTTATTCATGCGCTGGACAGATAGGTCACCTGGTACGGCAGTCGGTGCTGGCAGACACAGCCAGGCGATGTGAATATACTTGTTAGCAAAGACCCTGTACAAGAGCAGTAGAGGTAGGCAGGCAGCTGGTGACTCTGAGCTGTATAAGGGCCCAGGGGTGCAGCACTGAGGGTGTGTGTCTGAGACAGCTGGACTCTCCCAAGCCACACAGGACAGAGCGACTGTGAAACAACGCTGCTACAGTTTATCAAGGTCTGGCAATCCTTGGAAAACTGTTCTGTTTCCCCCTGACACACATAACCAGCAGGATCCACAGTGCTTTGCCTATTATCTAGATGCTGTAAAATTTGGTGTTTTTGATGATTCATTCCCCAAGGGGCCACAATAGCCAGAGCTGAGCCAATCCGAAGCCAGGAGCCTTGAGCCTCCTCCAGGTCTCCCATGTGGGTGCAGGGTCCCACGGCTTTAGTCTGTGCTCAACTGCTTTCTCAGGCCACAAGCAGGGAGCTGGATGGGAAGTGGGGCTGCTGGAATTAGAACTGGAACCCATATGGGATCCAAGTGCATTCAAGGACTTTAGCCACTAGGCCACCACGCCGGGTCCAGTTTTCAAAAGTTTTAATGGCAGATATGATTGATTTTTTGATTACTAACTATTCATATGGGAAATTGACTTGGCCAACTACTATTTTGAAGTTCATAAAAATGACCTTCATTGGACCAAGTATTTATATGTTCTTTCCCCTGCCTCCCTCATTTCAGGAAGTTAATTTTGCTCGATCTTAGTAATTTCAGAGCTCACATGTTTGTGCTTTCAGTTGGAAACCTGAAGATGTAACAGTGTGTGTGTGTGTGTGTGTGAGAGAGAGAGAGAGAGAGAAAGGTGAAATATAGTAGTAACATTGCTTGAGGAGGGAGGGACTAACAGGATGGCAATTGCGAAAGTCATGGAGCATTATTGAAAAGGCAGAAAGTTAGTGGTCATGACCAAGGCTACTGGCGGTCATGGCCTTAACTACGTTGTTACTTGCCAGTAGAGTGCCAGGCACTGCATTCAACTGTTTCCCAACATGCTCGCTAACCCAAGCAAGAATCCTACCAGTCCCCATTTGGTGGATGAGCACAGTGAGATTTGGGGGTCCTAAGAGAATGTGTCCAAGGTCACGTGGCCGGCCAACAGCTGCTTTAGTTCTGAGATGCCAGAGCCTGCACGCAGTCACTTCGCAGCGCCGTCTCATGCATCCCTCTCCATGGTGTAGAGCTGTCCCGGGCATGCTTGGATGCAGAGCTGCATCCCACGAGACAGGAACTCTGCCCTAGCTGTGTAGTCCCTCGTAGACACTGCCAGGTCTGCTGGCATGGGGCGGGAGTGGGCAGAACCCCTGCGCTCCAGAACCCCGGCTAAGGAAATCCGTCAAACTCTTGGACAGAGGAGTGCGGAGTCTTAAAGTTTGCAACAGAGCAGAGACAGAACATGAACAGGAGGCTGACCCGAGAGAAAAGTCGTCATTTGCATGTCCCTGTCCTCAACCAGCTGAGGGGCAGCGGGACCCACTGGAGAGCTCGGCCTCTGATCACCTCCAGGTTGCCTGTGAAGCTGCTAAGGAGCCAGGTGAAATCGCTCCTGCGTCCTCATCCCCCGCTGTGCTGGGTGAATGACCTGTTCTCAGAATGATCCTTTACTGTGTGAAAACTGCTGGAGCAGTGGCTGTGCGAGAATCATCCGTCGTCACAGGGGCCTTTGGGAGGTGTTCAGGGCTGTCTCCTGTTCTCGCGTTCAGCTCGAGGCAGCTGTGTTTGGCTTGGATTTCGCTCAGGACTTTAGCAAAGACATCTCATTAAAATGGGAGTTGCCCTCAGAGCGGTGTGTCTGGGGCCGGAGAGTGAGCATTCGGAGCCCTGTGTGTGGTACAGCCAGGCAGGTGCACGTGACGTGAGGAACGCCTCCTCTGGGGTTAGGGTCATGCGTGGGCTATTAGAGAAAAGATCAAGGGACTCAGAGGTGGTTGAAAGCCTCAGGAAGGAGAGCCAAAGTCCTCTTTTGGCCTGTAGAAACCCGCAGGGGTGGGGAGCTGGCTTTTGTTCTGTGTTTCTGTTTGAAGTCATAATGAGGCCTAATTGTGGCTGCAGTTTAGAAAGGGAGTTTAGAATCTAAGATAGAGAACACCTAAGCTTTGGTGCCGAGGTGTGGAAGTGATTTGTGTCTTGACAGAGGTGTAGGTTCATATACTTCCATGCGTATAAACTTGACCCCCTTCCTCCACCAAAGAACTAGAAAACCAGAGTTGCCCGTGGAGGATGTGGTAAGGCCTGTGTTTTTCTGCCTCTTGGAGACTCACTCAGATGGCACCAGCGCCAGGTCCACTGCCCAGGTGACCCGCTGCAGCCGGGGTCTTGGCGGGGAGAATCTGTCCAATTCAGAGCATGTGGGTGCAGCGAAGTTTGACTGTGAAGTCCTGGTAACAGGAAGAGCCCAGGGAAGTGTGGAGAACACAGCTGATGGACCTTAGTTATGTTGCTGTTTTTAGATAGATCTTTTAAGAAAATATTTATTCTTCGAGTGACGAAGAGAGACCGAGAGAGAGAGATCTTCCATCTGCTGCTTTACTCCCTAATAACCAGAATGGCTGGAGCTGAGCTAGTCAGAAGCCAGGAGCCAGAAGCTTCTTTTGGGTGTCCCTCATGGGTGCAGAGGCTCAAACACTTGGGCCGTCCTACGCTGATTTCTCCCAAGCTATAAGCAGGGCGTTGGATCAGAAGTGTAGCTGCCGGCCCCTGAATCGGTGCCCACATGCTGGTGACACAGGCAGCAGTTTTACTGTTATGGCACAGCGCCGGCCCCAACTGTAATTACCCTTGTTAGAGCTGGACAGGTTCTGTGGGAGGAGCCAGCCCGGCCAGCATTCACTGGGCCTGCAGTAGCACCTGCCACGCTCTTTCAAGGGGCAGCGGTTCTTGTAAGTTGTCAACCTGGGTGGGAGTGTAGACGGAGTCACCCTCCCCAGGCCTCTATGTAGAAATCCTGTTGTCCATCCAGGGCCCCATGCTGCAAAATGCCCTTTCCAAGTTAGATCCTGGCCTGGGCTCGTGGAGCAGCAGCCCTTGGCTTCCTTGGTTGAGGAGCCCATCGGCTACAGAAGCAGCTCCTCCAGTCGGCACGTGGGACTGGAGACAGCGGTTTAGGCTGTGGACCGGGGGTGACTCTGGAGTAAAGGAGATGGCAGTCTAGGTGATGTGTAAGGTGTAGCCCCAGTGATTTCCAACACCCTGGCTGGAGGCATCAGTGTGGTCGCTCACGTTGCTTCTGTGCGTGTCTTCTTGGGACTGTCTTGTTTTCAGAAACAGCACTGCTTGAGGATAAAATGGGCAGGTGGGGAGGGTGTGGCTGGCTTTCGGCCCCATAGCCCAGGTCCTCCCACCCTTCTCAATTCAAGGTCTGCAAGGCTCTGTGCACCCCGGCTCGCCTGTCTCCCTTCCCATCCTTGCACTGCAGTTCCTGTCTGCATGAGCCACTTTATGACATCCCCATGCTTGCCCAAGGCTGCTTTCTGCCTGTGCTGGTCTCAGGCCAGTGCCTCTGACCTTCCAAGACCCACGTCTTGAATGTCCCCTTCTCCAGGAAGCCTGCCCTGACCCTCCAGTGTGGAGGTCCATGGGTGTATGTCATTAATCCTCCTGGCCTTCTTCCTCCATAACTGAGCCCTGTGACTTGGGGACCACCCCAGGGCCACTGACCCTGCAACCACATAGGCGAGGAATTGCTAGACTCATGTATCACAGACCACAGCCCAGTTGAACTGCCTGTTCGTTCTTGGGCCCGGCATGATGGCTCAATTAACTAAATCCTCACCTCGCAAGTGCCAGGATCCCAGGTAGGTGACGCTTTGTGTCCCAGCTGCTCATCTTTCCATCCAGCTCCCTGCTTGTGGCCTGGGAAAGCAACAGAGGGTGGCCCAAAGCCTTGGGACCCTGCATCCGCGTATGAGACCCCCGAAGAGCTCCTGGCTCCTGGCTTCGGATCAGTTCAACTCCAGCCATGGTGGACATTTTAGAGAGTCAACCAGCAAATGGAAACTCTTTTTGTCTCTTCTTCTTTCCATTAATCTGATATGCCTTTAAAATAAAAATGAATATTTTTTTTTTAAAAAAAAGACTTATGTATTGAAAAGGCTGAGTTACAGAGAGAGAGAATCTTCCATCTGCTGTTTGCTCCCCAAAATGGCCACCATGGCTGGGGCTGAGATAAGCGAAAGCAAGAAACCTGAGACTGTATCCAGGTCTCCCTGTGGCTGGCAGGGACCCACCATCCTCTCCTATTTTCCCAGGTGTTTAGGAGGGAACTACATCAGACTTGGAACATCCAGGACTCAAATCTGCACTCCTGAAGGGTGCTGGGGTCTCAGCCTTGGCTGACTGCACCATGCCGCGATGCAGGCACTGGTTGCCCGAGTTTGTATCTTGTTTGTCCCTGTATCTGGGGCAGGCCGTTTCCCCTTCTTCCATCTGCTTTGGTGACTGGTTATGTAAAATGAGGAGAGGGTCACACCTGGGGGGAAGATCAAACGTGTTCCCTTTCACTCCAGGCTGTTACACGCCGTCTTTCCGTGTCTTTTCACCTGTAATTCATACACACAGCATGACAGCTGGCACACCGGAAAACATCTCCTTTGGGTCAATGAACTTCTGTTCCTTAGCCATCATTCTGACTTAATCACCCCTCGGAAAATCAATCAAAATGGGTTAAGGCGGACCTGTCCAGACTCACCACATCCCTGCTGAGTAGACTCAGGGGGTGGTTGGAAACCGGGACTCTCTGAGCACCATTTTCTTGCTGGCTGCCAGCAATTCATGGGAAAGAGCGCTATCTTTCTGTGCAACATGGGACAGTCTGTGACATGCCTGATGACAGCTGGGAGAAGGTGCTGCTTTGAGAGCCCCGACCCAGGAAAGCAGCGGGTGACCGTCAGATGTGTTCTTGTCCCTTTGACTCTGCTCTCTTGTCTCCCTGTACCCCTTTGCGTAGCTACTATGCCGTCCTGTACCCAATGGTGTACCCCATGAAGATCACAGGGAACCGGGCCGTCATGGCGCTCGTCTACATCTGGCTTCACTCCCTCGTCGGCTGCCTGCCACCGCTGTTTGGCTGGTCATCTGTGGAGTTTGATGACTTCAAGTGGATGTGTGTGGCTGCGTGGCACAGGGAGCCCGGCTATACCGCCTTCTGGCAGATCTGGTGTGCCCTGTTCCCCTTTGTGATCATGCTCGTGTGTTACGGCTTCATCTTCCGCGTGGCCAGGGTCAAGGCACGCAAGGTGCACTGTGGCACGGTGGTCATTGTGGAAGAGGACGCCCAGAGGACTGGAAGGAAAAACTCCAGCACGTCCACCTCTTCTTCTGGCAGCAGGAGGAATGCTTTTCAGGGCGTGGTCTACTCAGCCAACCAGTGCAAAGCCCTCATCACCATCCTGGTGGTCATCGGGGCCTTCATGGTCACCTGGGGCCCCTACATGGTTGTCATCACCTCTGAGGCTCTCTGGGGCAAGAACTGTGTCTCCCCGACCCTGGAGACCTGGGCCACATGGCTGTCCTTCACCAGTGCCATTTGCCACCCCCTCATCTACGGACTGTGGAATAAGACGGTGCGCAAAGAACTCCTGGGCATGTGCTTTGGGGACCGGTACTACCGGGAGCCGTTTGTGCAGCGGCAGAGGACTTCCAGGCTCTTCAGCATCTCCAACAGGATCACAGGTAACTTGGGCTCTGGTTAGGAAGGGGCTCTCCGTCTCAACACAGATGCAGTGTGGGGTCCTCCTAGCTTCCCTGGCCTGCTGACAGGTGAGTGTGTGGCCTCTAGGTTCAAAGAACAGATTTGCTTTGAGGAAGGGGTATCCCAGAATATGCACTGTGATTTGCAAGCAGCTTTCCATCCCTAGGCAGTTCAAGGTCATGCTGCTGGGGGGTGGGGCGGGCAGCGTGGCTTCCCGAGTGAAACAGGGATTCCCCCCTTAGCTTTTCGAGACCCTCAGCTATCGCCCCGGGGGTGTTGGTTCAGGTCACCTTCTCTCAGGCAGCCCTGCCCTCTCAGTGTGTTCTCCAGCAGCTGGATTTGTAGGGCCGTATTGGAGCGCAGCCATCATTTGACCTGATCATTACAGAAGCGATTCAGACTGCACTTGTCACTTTGCTGCATGACCCTGGGCAATTCTTCAAACTATTCCAGTTCATTCTCCCCCTGAAGATGGAATTGAGAGGTATTCTGGCTTCTGTTCAAGTAGCAGAAGTAATGACTCCTGAGGAATTCTCGCTGACAGTGACAACAGGGGACGCTGCTCCTGTAGCAAGGAGACCGTCTTTCGCAGTGGCTTGACTGTGTTACTTCTTGAGGATGAGAAAAGTAATCTGGAACTTTTTATCTCTAATCTGGAACTTTTTATCTAACTGTAAAGAGCTGGCGGGGCTGGGGGAAGGGGCAGGATCTGTTTCCCAGTATTCACTAAAGTGCCCACCCCTTGCCACTTGCAAGACCTATTTCCCATTGCGACTTGTGAGCCAGTTTGGCTCCATTTCACAAGGAACTTGCTTGTTGAGATATTTTTACAAACGACTTACCTTCTAGACAAATATATATTAAATGTCTGCTATCAAGAAGGAAGAAAGGAAAAAAAAAAGGAACAAGAATGAAGGTGGAGAGGTTAGATAGAACAAAAGGAAACATCTGCCTTAGGGCCACGGCTTCCCATGCGAGCCACTTGAATGGTTATCATGGAAGAGGCTGTGAGAACAGGCGGGACGGCAGCTGGGATTAGGTCAGCAAGTCCGAGGCAGCTGGTGGGTGGTCTCATCCTCCTTAAGGATGGCTTTGAATGGAGGAGCTCGTGGTGGGATGATGGGTCTGAGTCATTGGCCTTCCCCAGCAATGGAAGCTGCGGGGTCCCTGCTCTGAAGCTCTGGCCGCAGCCGGAGGCCTGCAGCATCGGGGTGAGGTCTGCCGATAGCAGAATGCGGTGCCCCTTCGCTGCCCCCCCCCCCGAGCTGTGCATGGCAGCTGCTGTTCTGTTGCAGAAGAACTTGACTTCCACCCCAAGTCTCTGGTTCCTCTGTGTGAACCGGAGCTGACCAGACCCATCCAGTGCCCTCTGTGGGCTTGACTTTGGCTCCTAGGGCATGGCTGTGATCTGTAGCGAACTGCTAAACCCACAATCAGCACCCCTGCCATCAAGGTCTTCCGTGTTCACCCCCACCTCACCCCAAGGTTAGGAAGACTGTCTGGGGCCATCCACAGTGAGCAGGAAGTGACCTGGAGGCTCTGGCCTGCATGGTTCCCCTCGGTATGCATACCTGTAAAGTTTTAACGAAAGGATTCAGTAAAGGGAAATGATAAACTTTCCTACAACTGTGCTCATGAGCAAAGGCAGATGGAGAATTCCTTAAATAGCTGGAGCCTCCCAGCCAACTCGGATGCCAGGAGTTCATCAGCACGTGACAGTGTTTATTCTGTGCATAGCAGCTTGCAGCCATCATCAGGGGATGTTGATCTCATTCTGTGTGTCCCGAACTGAAGATGTGCAAAATCTGAGGCTTCTCCTGGAGTGTCAGCTGTCACTCCGCCACCTGATGCTTTCGGCTTGGGAGGGCTCATCAGCAGACTTCCCGGGGAAATGATGGTTCAGGAATTGAGAGCTGGGGCTACCTGGAGGTATGCCCAACGGTTTTGCTTCATGATGGGTAGGTCAGCTGTGGAGCAGACATTGGGTATTTGTGCTGAAACATGGAACTTAAAGGTTAATCTCTGTCTGGGAATGCTAGGCCACCAGTCCAGAGCTGACATGGGTGCCTGGGGATCAAGACTGAGAGGAACCTTCAAAAGTAAAAACAACAGCTCTTCCATGCCCGCCCATAAGCGAATCAATCTTGCATTTCCCTGGACTGGAGATCCCTGCCGTTCAGTTCCTTCTCCATCCAGCCAAAGCAGGTGGCCTGGGGGGGAGCAAAGTGGTTCCTCCTGCTGCTGGGCCAGCCTTGGGCTGTGTTTGAGCTGCTGGGTCTGGGGACAGAACCTGCGCTGGAGGACACTGACTCACACCCAGGGAAAGTGGCTCATCACGCCCCGGAAGGGATGGCAGGGTGTCTTGCAGTCTGGATTTTTCTTCTTGGTTTTTCAAAGTTCCTTGGCTAGAGGTACCTGGACGTTTTTTAGTTTTGTCAGAGAGTGCCCTCTTCAAAAATACTCTTGATCTTCTAGTTTCTAAAAGGCACACACACACACACACACATACACACAATACACCCTCCTTCTCCTGGGGAGACACACCCTGAACCCATGGGCTTCCGTTGGTACTTCTCAGTTTTTGCTAGGTTGGATTGGGTCCAGCCTAGTAGATCTGCTCTTGAGTGATACGGTTCAAACTAAGCCTGCCCGCTTTCTGGGTGGGAAGCGCTGGATAATACCCAGACAGAGAGGTGCCCGCTGGCTGTTGTTTCCAGCCCTTTTTTTTGAGCCACACTGGTCTGGCTCAAAGGCTCGCTCCCACTGGTGGAGACCAAGACACGTTTCTGGCTTTCGCCGCAGACTCAGAGATCGTATCCAAAACCCATTGTGGCTTCGGCCATCCGGTTGGCAGGGGATGGTGTTCTGCATGCCCCAGGGCGCGACCAGACCTCCTGCGCACAGCCATGTCCACCAGCCAAGATCCTGGAGCGTATGGCTGTGTGACACTGACAGTCTTCGGTGGTCCCAACCCTTTACTACAGCACACAGTAGCGGGGCCGCGCTCTTGTGTAAAACAGGATTCCTACAAGTATGAGCAGAAGTTTTTAAGATTTATTTATTTGAAAGACAAAATGACAGCGAGAGATCTTGCAGCTACTGGTTAATTCCTAGATACTTGAAACAGCGTGGATTGGGCCAGGCCAAAACCAGGAAGCAGGGGAAAGGGCCCTCTGTTGATAGGGTCCTCCCAAGGTCTGGGGTAACAACTGGAACCCATTCGTAGAAGGGGGGCCTGGGGTCATAGGAGACCCATTCCCCTTTCTTTCTGAGGATACCTTCTTTTTTTTCCTAAGTTCCCTCCATCATCTCTGGGATCCATGTTTTCTTTCTTTGTCCTAATCTCTCCCTTTTCACATCAATCCTTTTCCTTCCATGCTGATGATGGGGCTAGAGATCTTCCAGCCTGGGTGGCAGCCTGGTAAGACTCGCCCTCCGACCCCAACTCCCTCCTAGCACCTGCAGCTATTTTCCTGATTTTACTGCAGGGTGGAGTTCTCGGTCTCAAGCCCCCATGGAGTTCCCCGGAGAGTTCTGGAATGTCACTGCTCAGTCCTGACCGCTGTTTGGTTTTTGCTGTGTTGCTTCGACCCAGTCATTCTTGGTGCCTCCTAAGCTGGAGGCCCTGGTTCATTCTCTCTCCACTTGTGCCCACACTGGGTCCAGTCTGCAGCAGCTGCTTCCTGGGGAGGCTCCTAGGCCGCAGTTCCCAAGTTTTGGCAGGGCGGGGGCTGAGGGGCGCACTGAGCCTGTGTCACTGGAGTTAGTTTCGTCGCATCCCCCACCCCGACCCCCGCTTTCCAGTTTCCCCAAATTCCCTCTCCTTTGAGGTCTAAATCTCTTAAAATACCCTGTTTGGGTAACCAAGTCGGACGTCAGGATGTGAAGAAGTAGACGTGGGATTAAATCTGCCACTCCCTCTGGGATCCTTGTTGACCCGGGCACTGTTGGGAGGGTGTCCCCTTGCCGTGGGTCCTGACACAATGGGGGCAAAGCGGGGAACCCCCACAGTGGGTATTGTGAAGGCCAGGAGAGACCAGGGGTTGGACGGCAGGGTCTGTGAGGAAGAGAGGAAGATTGAAGTGGCCAAGCAGGCCCGGGCTGCCTGGCAGCCTGATGGTGCTCTGAACACTAACTTTACTTTTCAGACCTGGGCCTGTCTCCGCACCTCACGGCACTCATGGCTGGCGGCCAGCCCCTGGGGCACAGCAGCAGCACCGGTGACACTGGCTTCAGCTGTTCCCAGGACTCAGGTAAACCTGCGGGCCAAGCCGGCTCCCACCTGTGGCGTTTCCATGGCATGCTTGTGAACGGACCCCGGTTTTCGGGTCACAGCTGCTTAGCCACTATGGTAGGTGGGGTCTCGGTACCCAGCTCCCAGTGCAGCCTTGGGCGGGGGTGCTGAGTGGAGGGACCAAGAGCTGCGCTTCCGTACCGCGGCTCCTCTGCTGCACAGGCCCGGGGTCAGCCCATTTCCGCTTCGGGGACCCCATGTGAGAACTGACATGCCCGTCTACAACATCCATCTCTCTGCTCCCAGGAGCTTTGAGATCTGCACGCAGAGGCCCTCGTGCGTCACTGGGGTGAAGGAAGGGCTCCACCCCGGGCTACGACGTTCAGTCATTCATCAGCAAAGATTTCTTTGCTGAGCCCCTGGTTTAGCCCAACGCTGTGCAAAGTTCCGGGAGTTTGGGCGCGAATGGCCTGTGGAGCCTTCGGTTTTGTGGAGAAGCCGGGTGTTCCGTAAAGCACCTCGCTGCTGGAGCCCCCATGCTTAACCAGCGTATCCAGTGTTCCTGCTCACGGTGCGAGGGAGCGCCGAGATCTTGATGGACTTCGGACACTGGAAACTTAAGAACAAAGCTGAGCTCCGTGCAGGGCCAGACCCGGGCACCACTGCACGATGGGGCTCAGTCTTTCCTCCCTTCCCTGCCCTTACCCTGCCCAGCTCTGTGATAACTTGTGGGAGTTTCCTCGCCTTCATCACCCTGCCTTTTGTTAGGGATATGTGTGCTGAATGTTAGCTTATCCCGCACACTTTAATCATGGGGAGAGGAGCTCAGACTCATTCACCTTTTCACGGTACTGTGCACCACGCAGCCTTGCTCTGCTTCTTTTCCACGCCAGGGCTGGGTGGGGGCTGCCACTCCAGGGTAGGGTGAGTCATGACAGCTAACCCACGGGCTGATGTGGCTGTGTTTCCCTGTGTGCCAGAGGCAGCCCACTGGCTGCAGATTCTGAAACGGGAAGGTGGCTGCAGGGCATTTTAGCTCCTCCTGCTGAGGGGATGGGGGGGGGGAAGTGATGGAGAGATCGGGAGGGCTGATAGAAGGATGGGGAGGAGGGGGATTTCACTGCTGCCTTTCGCTGCACATTCTGCCCCTTCGTCCCAGGAACGGATGTGATGCTGCTTGAAGACTACCCATCGGATGACAACCCCCCGTCCCACGGCCCTTGCCCACCCAAGAGGAGGAGCTCGGTGACATTTGAGGATGAAGTGGAACAAATCAAAGGTTGGTCTCAGTGCTTGATTGCTTCAAGAAAACATGGGGGGGAGGGGAAGCGAAGAATTTTGTCAGCCCCAGCCCAGGAACATGCCAAAACTCTGTCACCTTCGTCTGCCCCGACTTCCTCCAAGCCTCCTGGTCTCACTTCGCTCCTTAGGCACCCGGCGCTCACAGCAAACGGCATTTCAGATTGGGCAAATGCTGGCTGCACACACCCACCCCCGCCGCAGTACACCCTTCCCCCTCAGCACACACAGCCCAGATGCAGTTCTTAAGTCCCCCCTCAGGAAGCTGCCTGACTGGTAAAGAGGCTTTCTGAGCCTTCCATGGATTCTTTCCTGAACGGAGGAAGTGAGGTTATGTCCTTGAACTTGCCTCCTGCCTTCCCCGAGCTTAGATCTCCTCTCATGGAGACTGAAACGATGGCCCTGTGAGTGTTGCCACTCACTGAGAGCAGACGCTTCCGCCCTAAGGATCTGTTGCCGGAAGCTGCTGAAAGCACACGGGGTCCTGCGAGGCGAGGGGGGGCTCTCGCCCAAGGCAGTGCCAGCATGTTCTCAGCTCAACCCCCAGCACCCTTCTTGCCCCTGGGATTTGAGGTTGCTGTCCCTGGACATCCTGCTGTCCAGATTAACGGAAGAGCTGTCCAGGCTGCCCGGGGCTGTCAGAATCTTTTTTTCCCCTGAGTTCCCTCCCAAAGTGGGGACAGCTCTCAGCATGAGCAGGCTGTGGATGCAGTGGCGGACGCCAGGATTTGCGGAAGTAAATTCTTTAGAAGATAAACACGGTCTGTCAGTGTTGGGTTCATCATGAATCACATCACTTATGCTGTCCCCACTCAAGTGTTCAGAACAAATAGTGAAGTAGCCACGGAGGTCTGGCACAGCAGCTCCAGGGTGGAGCTTGGACCAGCAGCCTCATGGCTTCATGCTAGCTTTCTACAGAGAAAATGAACATGAGTTCCCTTCCTACCCTTGGCATGGGGTCACACTTGCCTCACCCTGCCTGCCTCATTGGGGGTGGCAGCTCTGAAGCACCATTCAGACAGGGAGGAAGTGCAGCACCAGCAGGTGCCAGCACCCCAGTGCCCAGCTGGGAGGCAGGGCAGAGGCCAGGGGCTCACCCTGGAGAGAAGGCTGCCAGGTTGGTACTCTCCAAAAAATGGCAGGAGAGGATGAAGGCGTCCCTAAAAATGTCTGGAAAGTAATGGTAACGGGGAGGAGGTGTGAAGAGTCTTGCCGTCTCCTCCCTGTCCAGGGGCGCTCCTCTGGGCAAGGGCGCTAGAACCTTTCATGTCACTTCCCCACCCCGAGGTGCCCTGTGACTTGGGAGGAGCTGTGAACCAGATGGAATCATGTCAACTAGCATCCAGGGTGTTTGCCTTTTCTCTGAGCCTGGCCAAGGCCAAACAGCTTAGAATGATCTCAGTAGCCCCAGGAAATAAGAGGTGTTTCTTCTTTCTTCTCTCGATGTTGGAGGAGACCAGTGCTAGGACAAAAGACTTTTCCCAGGTAGGAAGTTGGGGAATCTAGAATTTTGACGTTGGGATCATGAACTTGAAAACCATTGCCTCATCTCTCCAGACAGCGAAGCCACAGCAGGCAGGATCCCAGGCAAGTCACTGGTTAGCTAACTTTGTTCCTGCCTTCTCCCCAGAGGCTGCCAAGAACTCCATTCTCCACGTGAAAGCCGAAGTGCACAAATCCTTGGACAGTTATGCAGCCAGCTTGGCCAAAGCCATCGAGGCTGAGGCCAAACTCAACTTGTTTGGGGAAGAGGCCTTGCCAGGGGTCCTGTTTGCAGCACGGACCGTCCCGGGGCCTGGCTCTGGGGGCCGCCGGGGCAGCAGAACTCTTGCCAGCCACAGGCTGCAGCTGCAGAGCATCGAAGAAGGCAACATCCTAGCCGCAGAACAGAAATGAAGGCCTCGGGGAGGAGCAGGGCTGCAGCTGGGGTTGCTGACCCCGTGGAGGAAGTCCCCTGCCCGTCTGTGTCAGGGTCCTGGGAGCACAGTGAGCCAGATGCAAGCAGGGAACAACATCCTGCGTGGTGGGCTGGAAATGTCATCTTCAGGCCAGGACTTGAGTATCTGCTGTGACACCAAATGGGGGCTTCTGTGAGGTCCCAGTGACACAACGGGGGGCTTGTACAGTGCAGTAGTAAAAGCAGAAGGAGGTGTGGCTTGTTGGGAGGCGGACACACGGGGGCAGCAGAGAGCACAGGGTTGGAGAGAGACACTGTCCCATGGGTACAGTTATGCGCTGTCCCTGAGGCCTTGGTCGCAAACCTGTCCCAGTGCACTGCGGAGGACAGCATGGTGCTTCTTAACAATGCAAGTTCAAGTTCAGGCCATCAGCATGTTGATGCAGGCAGCAAGGGGCTGTTGGTTCTAGACTGAATGGTTGGCAGAGAACACCCAACCACTTCCACCTGCTGCCCTGGTTAGGACCAGGCCGTCAGTGCCCTGCCTGCTGGTGCCAAAGGGAGGGCCCGTGCCCCCCACGTCTCTACTGACAGATATTTGATATTTCAGAAGAAGGGAGAAACCACTATGAGACAGGAGGATGGGGCACCAGACGTTTCCTTTCCAGGGTTTCACAGTGTTCACTGCATGGGGCTATGGTGCCAAGCTCAGGGGGAGCTAAAGATACAGGGATTACTGGAGGGGATTGCCTCACTCCAGAAGTCTCATTGAACTCTCTGGGCAATGTTTCAGGGTCAGGAACACTTCCCAGGGCAAGGCATGTTATCGCTAAGCCTGGGTCAGCATGTGGTAGCGTGCAACGCCGAGTCTGCAGGGGGCGGTTCTGGCCCAGCTCTACCTCTGTGCATGTGTGACACATCCTGTGCAGCTGAGAAGGGAGCTGGATTGAATGCGGGTGCCAAGGTCACTTCCAGCTCTGGTCTTTGGTCTTCTTGGACTACTGAGATAGAAGTCACAACAAAGCGCTCACACACCTGCATTCACACCCTTTTTGAAGAACATATCCATTTTTACATTTTCACAATATTGTTTACATAGTGGAGAGGGCTGCCCGCCATGTAGTCACATCCTTATGAGCGGAGCGCCCAGTGGACATGAGTACGCTGCCGCCCCCAGCTCTGCCCCTGTTCCCTCCCTTGACCTGCTTGCTCTGAGTTTGGGTGGAATGCCAACCCCAGGATGCCATGTGGAGGAACGGTGAGCATCCGCAAAGAGGGGGAGCAGAGCAGCAGGGTGGGGCGTGGACGCGTAGGGCTCCTTTTTCTCCCCGAGAAGCAGCTGAAATCAAGACACAGAATGATGGGACTCAGAAAACCACTGTACCCCCTACACCATCCTGCAGCCAAGCTCAGGACCCACCCTGGCTCGGGCAGCTTTGCTGTGTCAGCCCCTAGGCTGCTATTCCACAAGTGAATTAGCTTGGAGGAATTTGTTGGAGGGTCTGCGTTGTCCCTGATGAGGCCATGTTCCTTTGTTACATGGCAGGGAGCATGGATTAGCTGGCCCCCTGCTCTGCCGTGCAGAGCTCTTTGGGGTTTGCTTCTTTTGTGGCGACTGACTCCAGGACATCTTTTCTGGGTCAGTGGGGTGCTGGTGGCAAGGGTCAGAGGGCAGGTTCCCCGGTGGGTTATGCTGATGACAGGCAAGGCATGTTGCTCTCACTGTTGGCTGGCATGCCTGGGCCTGAGAGCGACCGATGTCTTCTATACATACTGTATATATATACATATATATATTTGTTTCCTAGCAAAGGGACCATGTTCCTGATCAACTAGTAAGCGCAGAGGTGGGGCAAGGCCAAGAGACCTTGAACTCCAGGGTCTCCAGCTAGGCATTTGTTAGTGCAGCAAATGCCTTAGGCTGGAGAAAGCTTCCCTGACCACCTGCTGCTGGGCTCCAGAGCAAGCACCCTGGGACCACCCGAGTCCCCGCTGGCTGTGTGCAGCCTGGCTGGGGTATAACAGCACTTAAAGTAGTCTAGAAATCTTGCATTTCACAAAGGGACTCATGGTTTCCCTTTGGTTTTGAAACCAAGGTGAATGCATTTACTTACCTAGCAGATCCTGAACGTGCGTAAATGGACCAGCCAAGGCTCTGTGGGCAGCAACACTGGTGGGTTTACAGTCCACTGCTTTAGGGAGAAAGACACGGGCGAGTTCTGACAAACCTCACCAGCAGTGTGTCCACAGGGCACGGTGGCACCAAGGGAGGGGAGTGTTTCTAACTAGGGGCTGCTCTGTGAGGTAGGTGTTAGTGTGAACTAAGTCTTGCACAGTGTTAAGTAGCGAGGCCCATACTTTGCACACTCAGAAATACAAATTTGCCTTGATGCAGCTGAGAGGTGGGGGTGGGGAAAGGAGACTCGTTCCTGTACACGCAAGGTTCTGAGAGGCATTTTTAACATCTGCCCCTTAGCACAAGCCAGAAAACCCCACCTGCTCCCACTAGACGCAGGTTCATCAGCTGTGAACTGCTGCGCAGTGGCAGGCTTGAAGCCAGAGAGGACCCCGTGGACACTGGCAGGTAGGATTTCTGGCCACTTGTTGGCTTAAATACCTCAGTCTGGAGTCTTCTGGTTGTGGCAGGAGCACTTCAAGTGCTGTTGTCCACCTCTACTTTCTTCACTGAGAGCCCCACCGGCCAGGGTGCCAGTGCTATGCTCCGGATACCAGGGTCCCAGGCTGCCGGGACCAACAAGGCCCTGGGAGTCCCACTCTGCACAGCCCACAGTTGACACTGGGAGACTGAAGTTCAGGACCTTAGGCACTAGGTGGCAGCAGTACAGGCGTACAAAGCTAAGGGACAAACTGCCCCTGGCTTGTCAGGTGGCCACTTGGGAGCCTGCGTCCAGCGATGGTCTGAGGAGAGAGCTGCTCCTGGAGAAGTGGGGCTGAGCCGTGTCACACAGGGCCATCTGGTGCTGGTGGCCTCTGGTTCCGACGGGGTTGCTGCTGAGCCTGCAGAGTGGAGCAACCAGTGGGAATGACAGACAGTATCTGCAACAGCCTCCCCCGTGGCCCAGGACAGAGGCGTGACGAAAAACACACGTAAACCGTGAGAGCTGGCTCATCTGTCGAGAATTAGGTCTGTGAGCTTTCCATCCTGAAAAAAGATGCCTCCAAGATACACACAGACTGTAGAGACGTGGTGGACCCCAAGACATTGATGGAAAGTGTGCAGCCTTAAGCACCTTCTGGCTGGAACGGGGAGCATGAGGTGGCCAGGAAGGGAAGGCAGGAAACAGGCAGGCACCGTCCCATTGCAATACCAGAATGCCTGCTGTGTGCAAGACCCCCGCCCCACCCACGTAGGTACTTCCGGAGCTTGGTCTCATTTCGTTTCAGCACAAGAGTGACATGGAGAATAGCGCAAGCATGGACGTGGTGAATTCCTGAGTTCGGATCCCCGGCTGCCACTTACTGGCTGGGTGTGTTATACAAGTTTCCCACTCTGTAAACTGCAGTGTTGTAGTCATTTCCTGTGAGAGACACAGCATTCAGGGAGGCCTCCCTGATGGCAACTGGATTCCAACAAGAGATTGTGGGAAGCCCTGGAACGCTGACTGTGGGATCCGGGGTGTGGTGGAAGCCGAGTCGCTTGCATTCTGTCTCAGTCACTCTGTGAGGGGCATACTTTTGTTTGCTTTATAGGGATTCTGGAACAAGTGAAAAGCTTGCCAAGATAACCGTTTCCCCAGAGGAATTGTGGATGCTATTCACCCCAAAAGGACCCTTGGGAGCATGGGCTGGGGTGACCAAGGGAACACAACAGAGAGTAGGATAGGAAGGATAAACAGCGTCAGCGCTCAAGGAGGCCAATGGGGAGCTTTTCTGCCGGAATATCCTCCATACCAGTCTTAAGCTGTCCTATGTGATTTGCTCCTGTGGCCCGGTAAGTCTCAAACTACAGCACAAATTCAGCTGGAACAGGATCCTCCCCCTGAAAAAGATTCCAGGTGCTGGGAAGAGCTCCACGGTGCAGTGACAGGGGGACTGTCTGCCTGTACTCGGGGCTCACAGTGTCTCTGGTCCCCCAAGCTTGTGAGGAAGAGGCAGGACAGGGCTTGAATCTGGCTGACTACACATGGTGCCTACAGAGCCCAGGGGAAAACAGCTGTGCTCCGCCAGCCGTAGGGCCCTGCAGGGAGGGGCAGGGGTATCCTGTCCCTGTGGGTGGCACAGAACAGAGTCCAGAGAGACCTGTGGGACAAGTCCAGGGCCTCAAAGTGAGATAAGCTCAGATGGGGCCAAGTTCCAGGACTTGGTCATGGGGTTGAGAGAAAAAGGAGCCAGCCTTGTAGCTCCGTAGGATGAGGAAGAGTGGTCATTATTAGACCAGGCAGGAAGAACTATTGTGACTGAACAAAGGAACAGGGCAGATAATAAAATCTGCTGGCCAGACCCGAGTGAACTAAAGGCCCAAGGACAGTGGATTCATTGAGAAGAATTCAAAGCACACACTTTCACTTCTCTGCAAGATTTCAAAGAGCACCATTGTGGTCAGTACTATTTTTAGAATGTCATACACAAAGCTGTATCCATTTCCCTCAGAAAGCATTTTCCTGAGCAGCTAAGGATCACTTAGGAATTAGAAGCCGTTTGTGTTTCTGATACCATTTGGAAACACCAGAAATGAGAGGAGACAGCCTCTGGGGAGGGAGCGTTTCAGGGAGTGCCCGGGCCTGGGCCACAAGGAATGCAGCGAGACGCAGCTGTTTCTACCCAGGGCTGTCAGGGCTGACGGGCCCCAGGATGCAGAAGAGGTGAAAAACCAATCAAAAAGGCCAAAAAAAAAAAAAAAAAAAAAAAGCTAATGCTAAAATATATTTAACTTGAAGTTTTTAGATGACATTTTAAAAAGATTGTCTAGGATTATAATAAATATTTATAAATGCCAAGTGTGTGGAATAGTTTTGTTTGCCTGATTCAATATGGTTTTAGGATGTGTATCGCTGTGGAAATTGTGACTGTATTTGGACTTGGGGACTGTGGGCTTTTTGGGGTGTCTCTTCCCCCTTTTTTTCTCCAGTGGAGACAGGCTGAGTTGGAGGAGGGGCATACCAAAGTCACTGGACTTCAATTATCCACGTATTTTTCTGAAATTCCTCCAAGGCTGTTAAATTCACGGAGTGTTGCGAAATGCCCTACTTCTTACCATGTCCAAAAATACTCTAAACTCAGTCTTTAAAGAAGACTGCATGAATGTTGTATCTCTCCATGCATTTATTGATCCTGGTTTTCCATCTTCTAATAAAGCCAAAGAGGATGACTGGCACGTCGTTCTTTGGCGGCTCGGGACAAGCTCAGGACCAAGTCCCCTGGCCATGCCTGACCCGCCCTGCAGCACCACGGAAGGTCTCTCCTCTTGTCCCAAGGGGGTGTGTGTGAGCACTAGTGACCCAACTTTCTGGGTCCTCCCCTGTGGACTCGAAGTGGCTGGGACACGGTCACTCTTCTGTGGAGTAGTTTCTGCCTTTGCTGCCTTTCTGGCTTGCCCACCTAATAAATAATACTCAACACCAAAATTTCTCTGCAAAATCACCACTGGTAGGGGCTATACTTTAAAAATACTTTGGAATATACCTTATTATTTTTTTTTAATAACTGTAGTTCTGACCGAGATCCTGGTTTATACCTTGAAGTACAGTTTTGTATTGTTTTTAAGATTTATTTTACTGGAAGGTGGGAGCTAGACAGTTCTTCTACCAGCTGGTTGGCTCTCCAAAGGGCTGTAACAGCTAGAACTGAGCTGATCAGGTGTCAGGAACTTCTTCCAAGTCTCCCATGTGGGTGCAGGGGCCCAAGGCCTTGGGCCATTCTTTGCTGTTTTCCCAGGCCATTAGCAATAAGCTGGATTAGAAGTGAATCTGCTGGACTTACATCAGTGCCCGTACAGGATGCTGGACCCACCTGAGGAAGATTAACCTGTTACGCCATTGCACTAGCCCCAGAAATACACCTTATTTTTTGAGAGCAGCTTTGGGTTCACAGCAAAATAAGCAGAACATAAGAGTTCACACCTCCCGTTCCCTGCTCTATCAAGAGCTGTGGCGCTGTGGACAATGCCACTTCTGCTTCTTCTCTTACCTCTCCTGACTCCACCGAGTCCTCCAGTAGCTTCATCTTGTCAGCTTGCCACCACCTGTCTCTGGCCTATCTGCACTGTTTTATCACAGCATCACATTTTGGGCTTTGGTTCTGATACAGCCCATGTGACACAGCAAGGGTAAATGCAATCACCCCTTTAAAGAGGAGCCAAGAGAAATCCTGAGATTTGAGGGCATGAGCAGCGAACCAATAATGGTTCCTTGTGCTGTGCAGCCATCACGCAGCAGCTGTTTGCTTAAAGCTCGGTGTCTATCCCCATAGCCACTCACCTCATTTTCTAACGTGGATTTCCATGTCCGCTCACCCCTGGCAAGGGCCAGATGCTGAAACCCAACTGACTGACTTGCTGAGCCAGGTGCACCTGCCAACTGAAGAGTGATTACCCTCTGTTCAAAACCCTGACTGCTCTTCCAAGCGGCAGTGTCCCTGGGTCTGCGGCCTTCCAGGGGGACAGAGAGCCCTGCTCGCCACCCTGAGACTGTCGGCGGCCCAGCTCGAGACACGTTAGGCCTCATTCTCAATAGCTAAATTAGCCCCTCTCTCCAGGACATTTAGCTTCTGGACAGAAAGAGGAACATTTAACTACTTGCTAATAAGACCATACTAGTTCACTAGTTGAGTGAAGATGAGTCCTGGCTGGACTAAAGGTCACAAAGAAGTCCCCAGGGTCACTAGCTGATGTCCCCAAGCAGGACAGTTCCCAGGTACTCAGTGACTGTAAACTCAAATGCATTTCAGAATCAATGTGCCTTCTCAGACATCTGCAATGTCAAGTGTACGAATGTGTGAGTATACATGAGCACGTACACGAGCGAGAGTATATGAAAGAGGGAAGAGGGATGGTGGCAGGGTGACAAGTGCCTTTGAAACTATTCTTTGGAACACTCAGCGCCGGGCACAGCAACTTGTTTTCTGCTCTCAAAGTATCACGCTTCCAAGGCAGTGAACTAATTGTCTCTTTTCCACCTGGCAGATCTGGCTTCTAAAAGAGACTTTGGAGAGAAAGAGGAAAAAAAAAAAAAAAAAGCCAGGGATGTGTACTATGCTCATTTGGATGATGAAAAGAGATATCACAAAAATACATAAATAGCGATTGGTGTTTTGGCACAGTGGATTAGGCTGCCGCCTGTGACACCAGCACCCATGGAACCACTGGCACGAGTTCTGGCTGCCCTGCTTTTGATCCAGCTTGCTGCCGATGAGCCTGAGGACACAGGGGAGATGGCTTGAGTCCTTGGTCCCCTAACCTAGGTGGCAGATTCAGAGTTCCAGGCTCTCGGCTGCAGTCTGGCCCAGCTTTGGCCACTCAGGCCATTTGTCTCTCTCTCACTCCATAACTCTGCATTTCAAGTAAACCTTCTTGTAAAGAAAAAAAAAAAAGTATATGAATAGAGAATAATTTGGCAGGCACTGAGAAGATACTTTACTTATTTTATGAATGGGATGAAGAGATCTAAGCATGTGATCAGACTGATGTAAAGACATCAGCACCACGAACGTTTGGAGTGACGCTGCAGGATTAGGCTTGTTGGCGTAGTTTAAGCCTCACTTTGAAGCAACACATTTCTAGGTGCAGATGGCTTCATTGGAAGCAAACACTAGAGCTAAGCATGTCCAGGAATCTTCACAGAAGACTGTCGGTGGTCTGTACCTGGTTGTGAAATATGGAATTGAGAGAGAACTAGCCCAGAGACCAGTGTCTCCAGAACCAGTCCATGCTAACAGGTGAGGCTTGTCACCGCTTTCTGCTTCACGACCAACTCCCACACCCGAGAGATTAGGACCAATAATCAGGAAAAATCACTACAGGTAAGGATAAACTTTGGAAAGAAAAATGAAAGCAGCTCTTCTATGTGATTGTGTCACACAGAAGTCCAAACAGATAAGGTTATTAAATCTAGAAAGAACGAAACAAGGCCTCTCACATTCCAGAAAAGGCTGGGAAAACGTGCAACGCAGCAGTAAGGCGGGGCGGCATCTGGCCTGCTGGTTAAGAGGTTGTCTCTGCTTCTCACGTGGGAAACCGAGGCTCATTTCTTGGCTCCTGGACTGGGACTGGCCCAGGCCTAGTGGCTGCAGCCATCTGAGCAACTGCAATAAAACTAAACCAAGGTATTAAATGAAAAGTCAAACTTAGGATATCTTAAAACAACCATCTTCTTTAATCAGAAAGTCACAAACATGCAAATGGCAAGTGTAGAAATTTATTTGAACCAACATTTTCACTATAATGAAAATTACACTTCAACATTGATCCAAGCTCCCACATCTGAAGGTTAGGGGGAATATTGCACTTCGCATTTTTCTAGCACTTTTCATACCCGCAAAAGGTTTTAAAAACATTTTGCTAGTTTTGTTCAACATACTCTCCACAAAATTCATGCACACACTCATTCCAAACCAATGTTAGATTATCCCCAAAAAGGGGAAAAATTCCAAAAAAATCATAGCCTTAAAATTGCACTAAAGTTCTGTAAGGAAAAAAATATATATAATCAATTGTCTTATACAAATTTCAGAACGTCTCAGTGCTTGCCCGGAGAGGCGTCCGTCACTCCTCCTCGGTCTCATTCTCCTGGCCGGAGCCTTCTGATCTGTCACCTTCCAGCCGGTCTGGGGTTCAAACAGACAAGCAGGGAGGAAAGTCAGAAAAAGAAATACCTACAGCGTTACAAATGGTTACCAATGCCTTTTATTTAAAACTTATTAAAGTACTTAAAATTCAATGCATCCATGGGTAAAAATCAGTATACTACTACAGGTAGGCAAACTTTTTCTTTTGTTGTTGTTATTGCGCTTAAATTAAAAAAAGAATAAGAACACAGCATTGTTGGCTTGAAGTGTGTAAGTAATTTTAAAACATAAGAATATTCAAGAACTGCCCCAGGAAGGCCCCGCTATGTGCACTGTCAACAGCAGCGGCAAAGGGGGTGTACCGGGGGCTATGCCAGGAGGGGAAGGCTGTGTGAGAATGCAGGACCGCACTCTGGAGGACTATGTAAATATGCTGGCAAAAGTCTCTTGGGATTAAGTAGCTGTCCTCGAAGAGTATCAGGTTGAATACACATAATTACAGACTGGTACGGGAGCATACAGGTTCTCTCAAGCTTCCATGGTTCATCTTTCCTTCTTCTGCCTGGGACACTTCTGCAAAGTTCCTAACTACAGAGGTTCTGCTCAATACAATCACTATCTCCTTCATGAAATTTTCTCCTCCGCATTCCAAAGATCTTATGCAACTGCGAAATGATGAATGCTAACTGCAGTGACAGCTGAATGCATGTCTCTATGCAGACCAGACTGGAAGCTGCTGGAGGGCAGGATTCTGTTTGATGCTTCTCTTCTCTGAGCTTAGTACAGGGTGAGCAATGAAGGAATGCTGAATATGAACTTTAGAAAGGTCAGCATGACAGCCTAGCAGCTAGAGTCCTTGCTTTGCAGGTGTCGAGATCCCATACAGGCGCTGGTTCTAATCCCAGCAACCCGGCTTCCCATCCAGCTCCCTGCTTGTGGCCTGAGAAAGCAGTCAGGACAGCCCAAAGCCTTGGGATGCTGCACCCGAGTGGGAGACCCAGAGAAGGTTTCAGGCTCCTGGCTTCAGATCGGTGCGATTCCAGTCATTGTGGCCACTTGTGGAGTGAACCATTGGACGGAATATCTTCCTGTGTGTCTCTCCTCTCTGTATATCTGACTTTCAATAAAAATAAAATAAATCTTAAAAAAAGGAAAGATATACTACATGAGGGCATATGAGCAAGGCAACAGCATAGAATCACTACTACTACTCGAATGGAAACTAGGGTATTTCTGCTACAGAGACATTGGCCCGAAGTAATAGAGATATTAGGCTTAGAAATAATTTATAGCACTTTCAATACCAATACTGAAGTCTAACTTATTATGTAAAGAGACTAAAATACTCCCGCTGTATCCTAGCGTTAATAGCACCAAGAATACACAAAATGGATTCTATGCTTAATTATCCAAGTGAATTAAATTAATGCTCCTCTCTGCAGATGCCACTTCCAATATCAGAAAAGTCAGGCAATGTGTAAGATTTATTGCTGTAATTACACAGTTTTAGCTATTATTATGTATGTACTCATAATGCATTTATAAGATAAATGAAAATAACATTCGAATAGACTTTCACAAATCACAAAGGAATCTAAACACAGTGGAAGAATCTCTAATAAAGAGCTACCACAGGGATGTCAGTATGCAGAAGAAAGCATAATATCTCTTCAATTTCCTTTTTGGCCTTACTGTAGCTATGTCTTGTTTATTTTAATGTTTATTCTCATCTACTTGAAAGGCAGAGTAACAGGTGGGAGGGAGGGAGACAGGGAAGGAAGAGGTGGAGAGGGTTGGGAGGGTAAGAAGGGAAAAGAGACAGCAAGAGAGTTAGCCTCTATCTGCTGGTTCAGTCCTCAGAGGCCTGCAGCAGCCAGGACAGAGCCACGCCAAAGCTGGGAGGCAGGAACACCATGACAGGCCTTCCAGGTGGCAGGGACCCATCCACTGGAGTCACCATCTGCTGCCACCCAGGATGGATTAGCAGGGGGTAAGAGCAGGAGTAGTTTGGGCTCAAACCAAAAATCCAATATGGTCTTTGGCTATCCCAAGTGTCAGCTTAACCCACTGTGGGAGAGACCCTGCTTCAACACTGTATTATTATGGGTGAAATACCTTCTTGCTGTTCCACTTAAATACACATCATGAATGGGATCCTGGATAGGACTATACTTAAGAAACCTATTCTATCATACCAGCAGAACACGAGGAAGTAGAAACCAGCCCATTTTAGTAGGCAGGCGGTGACTCTATTTGTTGTTGTTGTTATTATAGTATAAACGCAGAGGGGAAATACAGGTAACAACTGTTAAAGGTTTTCAAATCAGGAAGTCTAGCATAGAGGACACAATTTGTAGTGCAAAACATGCCACAAGGAGACAGGGTGAGGCCAAAGTTCCTAGGACAGACACAAAAGAGCTGACAGCCGCTCATGCACCCACGAGGGCACAATAGCTGTTCTGTGCTCAAATCCAAGTCCTTTAACTGCCAGAGAGCAATCTTCCTCAGAATGTAAATTCAATTTCTAAGATACAGTGAACGCTGTGTTCACAGAATGCTAGCGAAGCAGGAAACCGTGCAGCAGTTCAACACTTGGCTGCCAATCACAGCTCAAGGAGGTCTGCAGGACCTTGGAAAGGAAAATCGGAAGTGCGAACTGCCTCTGTGTCCCTGCAGAGCAGCTGACCCCTCTGCAGAGAAGATCCTCACCTGTGGAAAGGTTCCTTTCATTCTCTGTCCCTTCCTTTCACTAATCTCTAGGAGATTAATCTGTCTGGGGAAGATATGATATGACGGGATATTAAGTTTCTTTGGGGCGGGGGAAGCAAATGAGATAATAAAAACAAATTCCCCAAAGGAAGCCTGTATTGCAAAAAGATACCATTTCAATTTCCAGGCTTTACACTACACAATATTTATTTTCTTAAGGAAAAAAATAAACAAAACTCATTGTTAGCTCAAAGTGCATGCATTTACCCATTTATTTAAAATTTACTGAGCAAACTTTACGTGTTAGGCTCTGTGCAAAGGGTTAAAGACATAGCTGTGAATAAGACAAACTAGCTTACTTTCAGGAGCAGGAAAACAGACAAAGCATCTTTCCCTCTAATATGTAATAAGGAAACAAACAAAACGAGTGTTACACTATTGAGGAAAGGAAAAGTTAATGAACAGAGTGAATGAAAGGAAAGGAGAGGCTCCCCATAGGAGATGTTAGCATTGCAAGCAGTGGCTTAACTATTGTTCTAGAACCCCGGAAGTTGATCATGTAAAAAAATGGGGTGGAGTGGGGTGGGGTGGAGAGGAGCCTTTATGATGTAGGCTCCCCACATCAGAGCAACGGCTCAGGTGGACCAAGTAATATGGGTCCCTGCACCCATACAGCAGATCAGGACAGAGTCCTGGGCCCTGGCTTTGGGCAGCCCCAGACCACCTCTGCAACCACCTGGGAGTGAACCAACAGGTGGAAGTGTGTGTTCTTTCAAACAAATAAAAGAAAATCAAATCCCCAGAGGTGACCTGGAGTAGGCTTTTCACTAACAGAGTTCTAGCAGAAGGATGCGTCTGTCATTCACTCCATGGCTTCCCAGAAACCTCTGAGATGGCACGTGGCCGGAGGTATCTTGTGCACCTGTGCTTCTTTATTTGGTCAAGTTCACCCCAACCCTTCTGAATATGAATGCATTATTGTACTTGGAAGAAAGCAGTGGTTGACTGAGTAATCTGTCAGATATCCAGGCTGTCTTAAGGCTAAAAGTAGCAGAAAGACAAACTCTTGGGGAACCTTGCTATGTCTTGCCTTCTGCCTAAAAGCAGCAGGAAGATGAACTAAGTCCACCAGAAATCGTGCATTTTTGTTGGCAAAAAGAAATGGAAGAGAAATTCTTATACTACAAAATGTTAGTGGATCCTAAAACAAGATGACACTATTTGCTAATAAACCATTTATCATGGTAAAACAGATTCTTACACACTGGAAGGAGAAATAATTTTCTATAGAAAAATTCAAGAAAAAGACATCTACCATAAATTATTAATTAGGCTTCCTCCAGGACCCAGTGCTGTGGCCTAGTGGCTAATGTCCTCACCTTGGATCCTCCGGGATCCCACATGGGCTCTGGTTCTAATCCCGGGAACCCCGCTTCCCATCCAGCTCCCTGCTTGTGGCCTGGGAAAGCAGTCAAGGATGCCCAAAGCCTTGGGATGCTGCATCCGATTGAGAGACCTGGAGGAGGTTTCAGGTTCCTGGCCTCAGATCGGCGCAGTTCAGGCCACTGCAGCCACTTGGGGAGTGAATCATTGGATGGAACATCTTCCTCTCTGTCTCTCCTCTCTGTATGTATATCTTTCCAATTAAAAAATAAGTAATATTATTTAAAAAATAATGCTTCCTCCTATTTCTGAAATACAAATGGATGAATTTTAAGGGTTATTCAGTGTTTGTGAAGAAAACAGATCATAAGCTATTATAGTGAGAAAATTTTTTTTAAAGGTTTATTTTTATTAGAAAGGCAGATCACACTGACAGAGAGGAGCAGAGACATAAAGATCCTCCAACCACTGGTTCACTCCAATGGCCGCAATGGCTGGAGCTGAGCCGTTCTGAAGCCAGGAGTCTGAGGCTTTGGACCATCCTGGATTGCTTTCCCAGGCCACAAGCAGGGAGTGGGGTGGGAAACGGGCTCACTGGGATTAGATCAGTGCCCATACAGGATCCCCGCGTATGCAAGGCAAAGACTTGAGCCACTAGGCTACTACGCAGGGTCCTACTCTTCCTCTTTTTACTTACAAACACATGGGACTTTGAAACGGTACATGCAGCTTATTTTGCAAGGAACATTTGTCTTTCCATTTCTCATCCTCTCAGAGGAAGTGATATCGACTTGCAGGGTAGGTATAAGTTAGCTTAATGAAAAGGCAAGATGAAGGAGCTACACAAATTTAAAACTCTGACGGGGAGTGGGTACTTGGTGTGTCTCCAAAATTCAAAGGCAGCCAGAAAGGGTAGAGCAGTTGGAGAGGACAGGGTGTAAATGAAGCAGAAAAGCAATCTAACATCAGATTACCTGAAGGTTTCCGTGTCATATTACCAACCTGAATGATTTGTGCACATGAATATTACTGGTCAAAAACAAGTAAGTTCTTTAACATTCATCAACTGCAAGACCTGGGTAAGTTATTCTAAATAATCTACTCTGTAAGGGTTGGTTCTAAATTAGGATAAGTCTGAAATGATAAGGCCCGTTAGATAAGTCCTCTACAGTGATACTGTTAGTAAATAATATCCAAAATACAAAGAATTCCTATTTATGAGATTTGTGAAGTTTGAAAAACACTTCTTGTTTGATAAAATGATGTTGTCCATAGTGAACATGAGACCTTTTCTATTGTTTGAATGCGGACAGTTGAAATCTTTCTTGAAGATGAATTGTAATCCATGCCTCTCTGTGCATCTGTGGAACTGAACTTGCACAGCTTATCACCCTAAAAGCAAAGGAAACACCTCTACACACATGCATATTTGGAGAAAGTATGTAATATATTCTTTCTATTTCCTATGCACATTACACTTGTTTTTGCCCAGGCTATGCCTGGTTTTGACCAAGTACTAGGTAAGTGTTCTTCACTGGGTATGGCTCTGCACTCAGAAGCAAAGAACAACTGGTGAAAGCATTCCCGTGACTCATTCTTTTCATCATGAATATTTTTCAATACCTTTCATGAAGTGTTCAGAGAAATGCTAGTCAGAAGATAAGCTAGCTTCACTTTGTGACTAAAGTTAGTGTAGAAACCTTTAAAGTACATTTTAAATACCTACATATTTCTCACATGGAGTAATGGTTTTACAAGCATGGTAGGAGTTCTTACCGGCTCGGATGTGGTTCAGCGAAGCCAACATTCTCAACATGAAAGAGGCTGGAACTGTAATGGTATTTCTAGTCTCTTCCAGCATGAGTTCATTTCGAGTTATAACCTATAAAGCAAGTTAAACAATCAGGTTAGAGAGCAAAGACTAACTGTATATATCCCTTGAGGGTTAGGAAAGCAGTTAAAAAAATTGGCAAGTTTGAGATGAATTATGTTTTCTTTACATATGATACCTGTAGTTGTTTTATTTATTATTATTATTATTGTTTTACTACAGTAGTTTATCAGAGCAGTCCATGCTATATTGGCCTACTATTTTCCTCTACAGCGTGTTTAGTGATACAATAATGCCGAACTATTATCACTTGCTTCCCTTGAGAAGATGCTACTTTGAAGCAAAGTTGTCTTGAAAACCACACTTTGGGACAAGCGGATCTGGCAATGAATTAAGTGTGAAGTTTCAAGAATAGGACTAAATGAATATTCATGAACACCTAGATCTAATGGGTAGTAATGAGCCAAAGACAAAAGACGGCAGAAAAGCAACCAGGGAGATGAAGGGAACACATGAGAAAAATGCTAACCTAACCAACGGGTTTCCCAATGACGTAATAATAAATCCTAACTCACTAGGTTGCCCCATAAGGATCTTTATAACATTGCCCCATCTACCTTTTTATTACAACCGAGCTGCTTTTGAACACACAAATTACCATGCAACTTGACATATGCCGATCCTTTTGTCTCAAATGTTCCTTTGCTCCTTGTCTGAGGAATTACTCAAACTTCAGTCCAATTTTTATTTCCTCTGTGAAGACTTGCCCATCGCATTTAATGCCTTAGAAACACAGTTGTTCGTTTTGTATGGGCTTTCTGAACAATATGCATATTTTCCTGACACTAATCTCATTAAATTCCATTTGCTTGTTTATGTGACTGTCTTTCCAATTAGATTATAAACCCTAAAGCTGTATCTTTTTGAACCTAGCATGAGTTATTTATTTAAGAGTCAGAGTGAAAGCTCCTGTTTTTTGGTTTTCTTCCCAGATGCCCACCAGGGCCCCATCTGGGGTCAAAGCTGGAGCCAGAAATGCAGCATCTAGGTCTCCAACATGGTGACAGGAAACCTGTTGTCACATCCTGGTTGGGAAGCTGTTTTTCCTGGTCCATGGAATTGTTGCTCAGAACGGAAATAAAGAAAAAAGTTTTAGAGTACAAAAGGGAAAGTGAATTTAGTTGACATAAGCAACAGAAGTTTCCCAAAAGCACAAGAGTTCCCAGAGCTGCAAGTCTACTCACCCAGCAAGGCTGGGTCTCTTTTGCATTTTGTCTCCCTGCCCCCTTACTGGCCCTCAGGGCAGGCACTACGGGTCATACTGGCACTGCGTTTCCCACGTGTGCCCAAGAGTGTAGAAGGGGTCAGCAATGAGATTGACGGGAGGGGTGGAATTTCCTGGAATTCACCTGATGTCCATGCTTTTTTCTCTAAGAGCCTTAGAGAGCTCTTTCCCTACACTATTAAATGCTGTACTATCACAATCTTCCGGGTCTGTACTGTCAGGAAGCTGAAATCAGGAGCCAGGAAGCTGAAATCAAACACAGATGCTCCAACGTGGGACATGGGTGTGTTCAACACTAGGCAACATGTCCACTCCCCATCAAGTTTAACAAATGTCTATTATTTAAGGAAAATGTATGCAGGAACCACCCTATGAGACACCAACCTTGGCCTATAGTAGTCATTTTACAACTAGTATTTTTAGCAACGGACCTCAATTTTCTTAAGAAATCTTATATGGAAACACAAAAATAGAAACCCTGCTTGAAGTTGGGGATGAAAGGCCCAGAATCCAACATTTTATCATTTCCCTTTTTCCCCTGAATTTTGTAAGAAATCCAGAGTTTCACAGAACACAGTTTAGAAATTGCTTTGATAAGAAGCTAAGGAAATCTCAAAATGTATTAATAAAAAAGATTCTATGGGCCTGGCGCGATGGCGCAATGGATAAGGTCCTCCTCGCCTTGCATGCCCGGGATCCCATATGGGCGCCGGTTCTAATCCCCGCAGCCCCGCTTCCCTTCCAGCTCCCTGCCTGTGGCCCGGGAAAGCAGTCAAGGACGGTCCAAAGCTTTGGGACCCTGCACCCCTGCGGGAGACCCGGAAGAGGCTCCTGGCTTTGGATCGGCATAGCATCTGCCGTTGCGCTCACTTGGGGAGTGAATCATCGGATGGAAGATCTTCCTCTCTGTCTCTCCTCTCTGTATATCCGCCTTTCCAATAAAAATAAAATAAATCTTAAAAAAAAAAATTCTATGATGGTTCTGAGTATGACTGTAGTTATGGGGGATATATTCATAGTAAAATGGTTTTCCTGCAAGCACAGGAGTTTTTCCTCCTCTTTATTATAATAAGCACAAATAATTAAACCTATTTTCCAAACTACAATATGTATACGCTTATATTTCTAATAATCAATATTGTAATTGGCAAGCTACTATGCTGGTTTTCTCTCTCTAGCGTTACAGGCATATTTTTATCTTAACTTTTCTGTCTTAAAGGTTGACCTTAGCTGCATAAATGTACTCCCTGTTAGCATCCAATAATAACCTTCTTTGGTTACTCTGAGAAAGGTATTTTAGGAAGAAAATGAAATGTGGTCTGTGATAAGTATAATAAAAATCTTACTTCATCAGCAAGTTTTCGGTTAAAAATCCTTGACTCTTCCAGTGGTGACCAGATCTTTATATCATAATCTATGCCAGATGAGGCTAGAACTAGAAACAAAATGTGTGCGCATTAACATAAAGCTTGGGAAAATGTCCCTAATACAAGAAAACATGTATTATGCATGTACATACACACCCAGAGCTTGTATGGAAATTGTATTTATCCATTTATCTATTAATCGGTAATACTATTAAAGATTTTCTAAACATCATCATAGAATTCAATTTTAAAACCATGTGGAAGTTTTTGTCTTATTTCTTGCTTTCTTATGAGGTACATAGGACATTTCAAACAAGGCAAGAGTGAGCCAGTGTTCCTCTGCTCTGGGAAACCGATTCAGAAACATGAGTGCTAAAAAGGCCTGGAGGCAAAGCATTGCAAAGTTCTGTCCTGCTAAACTTCTCACAGCTGATAAAACTTATAAGCAGAAATGTCTGAACTGTTTCTATATACTTTCTGTCAATGGCGCATATTAGGTGTTTCTGATTTTTAGAGCTATAACTGACTCTAGAAAGAAAATCTGGAGCATTTTTATAATATTAACGACTAGGGAAACTTTGGAGCTGGTGCCCCTCTGATTCTCTGAAAGGTCTTCTCACTTGGGTCGAAGGGATGGGGCTGCAGGCAGTTCACCACGTGATTGTCGGCTTCCAGAAGCATCAAGTGCTCGGCGGTGTGCCGATCCCAGATGAAGATGTGGCCGCAGTCAGAACCACTCATTACAAAGTTAGCACCCCAGAAATTGGCTTCTTTTATCTAAGCAGGTTTAAAAAAGGAAAAATAAATGAAAATACAACTCCAAGTTAGTAAGACAAAGATGTCTGCTATTCCTACACTTAAAAACAAACTGCCTTAAAAAAAAACTGAAAATTAAAGAGAGATGTTCTTTTCTACTATTGTAATATCGTGACAGGATAAAGTGCTGGCCATAATGAAAAGTCCCCTAGGAGGACAGGGACCTTACTCCACTAAATACTACATTTACAGCCCAACAGAGCACCTAGCATTTAGCAGGTACTTATTAATAAATGATAGGAACTGCCAGCATCACAGGCAGTGGTTCGACCCTTTATGCCACAATGCAGAGCCCACTAATTTATAAGCTATAAATAGATGGATGGGCTTCTGGATTCTGGAAAAAAATATATACACATACATGTTACTACATATATATATATATATACACAGAGAGAAAAAGTATATATATATATTCACACACACACACGTTACAATATACACATTACTGAACCTTTCAAATATATTTACACACACATGCACATGTTACGATATACATGTTACTGAACCTTCCAAAATTTGTGTCATTTTAGTTTTTAAGACAATAAAATATTTCACACAAAAAAGGAATTATCTTGTATCTGTTGATAAAAGTACAAAAAAATAGTAATTTTTTATTAGCTGCTAGAAACTTGCACACTTGAGGAGGAAAGATATAAATGTATTTGCTTTTAGGAAGAAATCAGACAAAGGAATGTGGTATACTGGAATAGCTATGATGACAACTTTAAATGAATTAACCATAAAAAATCCCTTCATATCTCATTTCTGGATGCTTTACATCATTTTATCTGCAGGTGCTACTCTAGTAGAGCTGGTTTTATTTCTGAGAATTACTATTATGTTCACTTCTTTCTTCTTTTCATTTATCCTTTCAATTAATGATTTTCATCCAAAAACCCAGAACTCTTCTCTGCTTGTTCATTTCCCCTATGCCCACCAAGAGCAGAGAGTGGGCTGGGCCAAAGCTCGGAGTCATGGACTCAATCTAAACCCTCCACACGGTGACAAGACTTCAGTTACATGAGCCACATCACTGCCTTCCAGGCCTGCAGCAGCAGGAAGCTGGGTCAGGAACAAGGGCTAGGAACCAAAGCCAGGCACTTCAACATGCCAGGCCAAATGCCCATCACCTCCAGAATCTAAACTAGAAAGATACAACAAGTGTAAATCAGCTGCATCTATTAATACCGAGTATCTTTCAAAATGATTCCACTCCTGCTGTCAATGATAAGCATAAAGTCAGTTAACTATCTCCCTGCCCCAAAGACAGCAGGTTAAAACAGATTCTGTAGATAATTTTTTCTCATTCAATGAATATATAAGAGTAGCACTTTCCATATATAAATTGTTCATAACAACAGTTATAACGATAATTATCTGAAAAAGATGCTCTTATTACTATAACTAGTGAATACTAGACAAAATCTTAAAAGTTCATCTGGTCTGATATGATTATTTTACAGATATAACTGAAGTGTAGAGAGATGAAATAACCAACAAAAACACTTAGTTCCTAAGTAGATCATTCTGATTATATTTTGCTATCAACCTGTATTTCATAAATCCAAATACTTCTCTCCCAAAAGCACTAGGAACTGTTCAGCTAGACAGCGGCCAGTGTGAAAGAAAAGGAGCAGTGGATGTGTGCATAAGATAAAATTTCTAAAAATCAAAATATATTTCATCATCATGGTAGAGTGTTTTTGTAATAAACAGTGGCCTTTCACACACTGTGCTACAGAACGAAATGAACCATGTATGAAGAAACAGATAATTGAAGTGGCAACACATGAAGGCAATCAGTACAGAAAAAATTTATAATGTCAAGCTGTAATTTCACCACAGCATGCCATGAGTGTGGAGTACCATTGTCCTGGAGTTGCGATGGCCTTTATAAACCATTTTAACCAGTGGCCTTCTAATGTTCAAAGTATCCAATTCTTCCATTTCTTTCCTTTCTTTTCTCCGCCTGAAGAACTCCTGAATGCGGGCAACAGCAGAGCGTCTACGTTTCACATATTGAAAGAAAAAAAAAACACAAAAATAAGTAAAAAACATTCACAGCCTACTGCAGAATGATAAAGATTTTTAAAATGCATCCAATCCAGAACATACCTATCTCAGTGAGGTAACCCCCAATCAAAGGCATAAAGAGGAAGACGCAGCAGCGAGGCTGCACCCGACTAGCTGTCACTTACAACAAAACACTGTAGTTAAACGATCACTCACAGGTGTGATCCTGGTTGACACAGAAAAGGAGCATGCGGCACACGGGTTTGTAAAGGGCTATTTAACAAAACACGATACAGACAAGACGCATGTGCAATGTCACTGCAAATAAAACAGTTTAGTCAACTCTCTTTCCGCTCCTCTCTGTAACAAGGGAAGTGAAGACACCAGAAACCAAGTGAAATTAAAATTAACACACAGTAGCAGTGCAGAAACAATTTTGGAAGTAAAATGTCGCTTAGATACATTTTAAGCCTCCTTTAAAAAAACTGACTGCACTATTAGGAGAAACCCCTCCTTACCCGGATTAATGACTTTCTTAATTCAAGTTTATTTAAAATATAATTTGGCGTATAATAACCAAGAAAAGCCTGCAAACCAGTTAAGAAAAATGAATCTTGGAACAAGTTACAGAAAAGATGCTCAGTTTCACCAACAACATGACAAAAACAAGTTGTCTTATTTTTGTGCTTATCATATCGAAAAGATATTTATGTCTATTAGAGAGGCAAGAGTTTGGGAAAATAAGCCCTAGTGGTAGGAGTTTGAAAGGGGTCCAGTATGAAAGGTGTGAATTTTCCACTGAGGAATGGCCCATGTACAGAGGGTTCAAAGTCATGACAAATCTTACGGATTCTTACCACAGGAACTGCTCATTTATCAGTATTCAGGGAACACAACATAACCAGATCCCAGGAATGTCTAAATGCCCCCATTCTGTGAATACACTATTCTAATGGCAAGGATTAATTCTGCTTGTGAACTTCAACCAAATGACAGCTTACAATATCTACTGCATCACATGGCCGCACTGAGCTGTAGCTCACTGCCTGCCCCTTTTTGAGTATAGGATGTTCACTTCATGTTCAATGCTAATGTAATCCATTCTATTGCTGTTGCACTCTATCGGTCTTTCACTATATTACAACAGAGTATGCAAAACAACCTACTTATGATGGCAAGCAGGGTCTTTGGCTCCTGGTTCCGGAGGCTCATAGTCCAGAACGAGGTGCGATGCCATTTGGTAAAGCCAGAGGACAGCAGTACCAGAATGTGTGCATAAGAACATGGAGCAGCAAGGACACATAGCAGCACCTAGTATTAGCATGCTAAACTGCCAAGCCTGACCCTTGCTCTCTCGTTACCTACCCCGCTCTAATTCTGCCTTTTAAGCAAGTACGTAAATAAATAAATAGCCCTTATGCTTAAAAAAGAGTCTGAGGGGCTGGCTTTATCGTAGGGTGGGTAAAGCTGCAGACTGCAATGCCAGCATCCCATATGCAGGACAGTTTGTATCCCGACTGTTCTACTTCCAATCCAGCTCCGTTACTGGCCTGGGAAAAGCAGTGCTGGATGGTCCAAATTACTTGGGCCCCTGACACCCACATGGGAGACCTGGAGGAGGTCCTGGCTACAGTCCCAACCCGGTGGCCTTTGGGAATGGATCAGGTCTCAGTGCACTCCCTCTCCTGACTCTGACTTTCAAGTAAAAAAATAAAACACAAAAAGGGGGCTCTTAAAACATACATAAGAATTACATGCTTTTCTATAATGAAAAAAAGTTCTTTTCATAAAGTAAAATGGCATATTCTTTCATATACATTTAAAAAGTATTTTATTTTCCTATGCTAAAAAGGAGTCTACACTAAATTTTTAAGTTATAAAAATTCCCAGTTAGAAATTCCCAGATAGAAAGCAGAGTTTTCTCTGTTATCTTTCATCTGATTGGGAGTTGAGAAGAAGAGTTGAGAGGCGCGTGCCTGCCCGCTCTCTCTCTCTCTCCCTCTCTCTCTCTCTCTCTGTTAAGCCAAAGGCCTTAAGAGCTACAAATGACAAAAGAAATTATGTGACAAGAATTTAGATGGCAGCTCAAATAATTTAAAACCCAACATGTAAACAAAACTAAGGCTGTAATGAGGTAATTAAAATTAAGAATCAAGGAGAACTACACCAAAGCATAAATATTAATTTAGAAAGTTTGGCCCGGAAAATGGTCTAATTGTTCTACTTAACATTTGTTTGGTTTAACTGTCCTAATAAGTAATCATTTAAAAGTTTGCATCTCAAAACATACAGTTTGTGTTAAAGTTTAAATCAGAGATTAGATCATTTACCAATCTAAGAAAAGCTTCATGTGCACACGTTTTACGTTAAAAGCTTAAACGGGGCATGGATTGGACACCCAGGTTAAGATGCCCTGTAGGTACCTGCATCCCAGAGTGCCTAGTTCAAGTTCCAGTTACCCTGCTGCCTATCCAGCAGATGATGGTTAAAGCAGCAAGGTCTCTGCTGCCTGTATGGGAGCCCTGGAATGAGTTCCTGGCTCCTGGCTTCAGTCTGGCCCAGCCATGACTGTTGGGGGGGCGTTTGGGGAGTGAACCTGTAGCTGTATCTTTCTCTGCCTTTCAGATAAAAGAAACTACATACAAAATTTAAAAAGCTGTCACGTGGCTGCAGGTGCTGTATCTATATACACAACCGCATGAATGGCCTCCCTTGCTAACAGTTCTAAAGAAATGAATATACTTATCATTATTACAATTAAGTTACTTTCCTAGAAGACATTTCATAAGAAATGTTGGAAGAATATAGGTCACTGGAAATGAATTTGTACTTTACTACAGTGTAAACTAATCATAAGAATATTAAAATAATGCTCATAGGAAAAACACCAATTACCAAATAAGCCTTTATTAAAAGCTAACATTTGCAAAGCTGTTTTTGAGAACTTTGATTTCTTCATGAAATGTTATTTACTCATTTGGTGCACAATTTCTGAAGTGTATAAAGGCTTTGTGTAATTAATTGAGAGGGAAATTTCAGAAGCAAGTAAAAAAAAAATACTAGTGGTATAAATTCTGAGCCAAAGGGAAAAAAGAAGTACAATAAGGGGGAAAAGCAAAAATCAGAAAAAAAGACAGGAAAATTAGAATTCAAAGTTCAAAAACAAGTCCGAACATAGCCACAGTCAAAATAAATTTAAATCAAATTCATGTATGGTGAAATGGGAATTTGGAAAATGGGAAAAAGACTATTTAGGATCAGTCTAAAGATTGAGACCAAGCAAAGGTTGAGGACAAAAGTTGTCATGCAAATACTAATAAAAATGAAAGGTAACACAGTATCATTAATCAGAAAAATAGACTAGGGAAGCTGGTGGTGTGGCACAGTGGATTAAGGTTCTTCCCAGGACACTGTTATCACATTTCAGCTCCTCTTCTGTCCCAGCTCCCTGATAACATGCTGGGGAGTCATAGAAAAGGGCCTCAATGCAAGAGTCCCTGCCATCCATGTGGGTCGGAGACCAGGATGGAGTTTCTGGCTTCTGGCATTAGCGTGGCCCAGAACAGACCACTGTGGTTATTTGGTGAGCAAGCAGTGGACGAGAGCTCTCTTTAGCTCTGCTTTTCAGATACATAAGTGAGTTGTGCTGAAAAATAGACTGAAGTTAACGAACAGCATTAAAGTTCAAGAAAATCCTGACGTTCAACTCACCAAGAAGGTAGAACAGTTAAGCGTGTAAGCGCCCAATGAAGACAGCTCCAAAGTATGCTTCTAAAGAAGGATGGGGACCAGTGCCCTGGTGTAAGCTAAGGTTCCAGCATCCCACATGGGGGCCAGTGTCCTGGTGTAAGTTAAGGCTCTAGCATCCCACATGGGGGCCAGTGTCCTGGTGTAAGTTAAGGCTCCAGCATCCCACATGGGGGACAGTGCCCTGGCGCAGTAAGTTAAGCATCCATCCAAGGCTCCAGCATCCCACAAGGATACCAGAGCCAGTCTTGGCTGTTGCACTTCTGATCCAGCTCCCTGACAATGGCCTGAGAACCAGCAGAGGATGAACCAAGTTCTTTATACTGATATGGGAGACGTGGCTTTGGACTGGCCCAGCTCCAGCTGTTGCGGGTATGTGGGGAGTGAACCAGCAGACAGAAGATACGTTTCTCTGTCTCTCCCTTTTTCTGTAACTGTCTTTCCAATAAAAATAGAAATTAAAAAAAAGGTAGAATTAGAGGGAAAATTAAACGAAATCACCATTCATGTAGAGATTTCAACATTTCTCTCAATTTATACAAATTAAACTATCACAAAGCATCATCAAAAACACAGATGATTTGAACAGCTCAATTAGGAAATCTAATCCAATGGTCATACACACAGTTTTGCATTCAAGAACCATAATGAGTTATTTTCAAACATATATGAAACAATGTCAAATGCATCATTGTTGCATATTAAGGCACAAAGTTCCTATGCATTTGGGAAAACAACCAATTTCTCTGATGACACGTTGGAGGTTGGGCGTTAATAACAATAATGCTGAATGTGTACAACCTGAGAAGTCAAAGGAAAAAGGACTGTGGCATAGTAGCCTAAGCCTCCACGTACAATACTAGTATCCTATATGGGCACCAGCTTATGTCCCAGCTGCTCCACTTCCAATCTAGCTCCCTGCTTATGGCTTGGGAAAGTAGAGGAGGACGGCCCAAGTTCCTGGGTTCCAACATGGCACATGAGAGACCCAGAGGTTGTTCCTGGCTCCTGACTTCAGATCAGCTCAGCTCTGGCTGTTGTGGCCATCTGCGGAGTAAACTAGTAGATGGAAGATCCCTCTGTCTCTCTTCTCTGTGTAAATATGCTTTTCAAATAAAAATAAAAAATAAACCTTATAAAAATAATTTTTAAATGAGTCATGAAATAAAACACACAAATGGAAATCAAAATGGTTAACATAAGTGTAAGAGGATCAACTAAGAGCAAAGCTATTTCTTTAAAAAT